CACTGCACCGCTGTCCCCGGTGACTAAGCCAGAGGGACAGGCTCTCATCTTCAACAACAGAAATCACAAGAAAGCTTTCAACATGACTCCCTTCCTACCTCTCCCCAAACAAGATTAGTCATCATCCAGCCAAATTAAAACAAAAACCAATAATCCTGTAGATTCCATCCAGTTCAATGTCACAGGCTAAGATTCGTCTTGCCTGACTGGTGGACCCCTGCTTTTTTGTTGATCTTGTGGTGCATGTGTGTCTGTCTGTTTGTCTGTCTGTGGAACACCTGTGTGTATACATGTGAGTGTGAGCATACATTTACACACGAGTGCTTGTGTGTGTGCATGCACACGTACAAGTGAGAAGGTCTGCCAACCTTCACCTTATTTTTTAAGACAGGGTCTCGCACTGACCATGGAGCTCACCAATTCAGTTAGACTGGTTGGCCAGCAAACCCAGGACATCCTCCTGTCCCTGCCTCCCCAGTACAGAGCTTATGGGCTGCACCACCACACCCAGCTTTTTATGCGGGTGTTCAGATCTTCATGTTGACACGGTAAGCATGCTCCTGGCTGAGCCCTTGCCAGTCCTTTTGAATTTTTGTTCCCTGACCATAAAGGTCTATATCATGCTAATCCATGTTACATTTATTCATATTTCATGTGTGTCCTGGTGCATGTTTGACCCTTAAATGTCTCTTAGTATGCTGGGAAATTAAAATGTGAATTTCCCACTAGAGAGATGTTCTGCTTAGCCTGGTTCACGGAAATCAGCTTTTCTGGTATCAGCAATGGTCAGTCTCGATTTTCAACCTGACGGGACTTAGAATCACCTAGGAGACACACCCCTGGCTGTGTCTGCGTGCATGCTTCCAAAGAGGCTCAACAGAGTAAGGATGGCCTACCCTAAATGTGACTGCCACCATCCCACAGATTGAATAGAAGGTTAGAAGGTAGAGAGGTCCAGAGAGATAGCTCAGTGGTTAAGAGCACTGGTTCCTCTTCCAGCGGAACTGGGTTCGATTCCCAGCATCTGTATCTGCAGCCTCCTGAGGCAACACATGCAAGCAAAATACCCATATTCATAAAAATATATGACTTTTTAAAATAGAAAGCCTTGGTAATACCACCTGTCTTCATTTCTGGCTACTAGATGATCAGTCAAGAAAGTAGCCTCCCGTTGCTATCCCTTCCCCAAAGTGATGGACTCTGTCCTCTTAAGCTCCTCTCAATTCTTTCTGTCATGTATCACATCCCAGCCACCAGAAAAGTAACTAACATTGGTACCAAGAAGTGGGATCGTCGCCACGGGAAACCTGCCCGTGTGAGCTTAAGCCTTTGGAACCAGTTTGCAAAAGGAGTGTGGACGAGTTCAGTGCTCCAGGCCAGGGGAACCCTAGGCATCAGAGTGAGCAGAGCTGGACAAGCCGTTCCCAAAACACTGACATTGCATCAACCCATGGTCAACAATTGCACCCTCCAAAATTAAACTTAGGTCCGAGAAGGGCAAGGTAGCACATGCCTGTAGTCCCAAGACTTGGGAAGAGGAAGGAGGAGAACCAGTAGTTCAAGGTTATCCTCAACTACACAGTGAGGAATGACTGCTCGTGAGCTCAGGGTTTCTTCTGCTCTGAAGTTAAAGCATGGTGCCAGTCACCGACTGTACAAATCTCCCACCAGTCACTGAGTCTTGCATTTCAAATTGGTGGGTCTGTGGCTATATATTACGGCTCTTTTTTTTCCCACAGTGGAGTGTAGCCCCGGCAAACAAAGAACACGGGTGTAATGGACTTCAAGCTGCAGGCACACAAGGACTCCCACCTCTAATCCCTGTCTGGGAGAAAGGATGAAAAGCAAAGAGATGACAGTAAACCAGAGCCACCCCAGCAGGTGACAATGTGTCACAGGAGTCGTAGGTAGGAGGACAGAGCTCACAGCATCCACCAGCAGCGCCCAGGGAAACTGCCAGGCATGTCCAGAGGCCAGTAGGTACCATACACCGTGCAATGAGAGATTTCCTGCCCCCCCCCCAAAGAATCCATAGTTCAACTGCATCCTGCTTGGGATGTCTCACAAGAGCCCACTCCTAAAAGGAAGCCTGGAGTAAAAGGCCATTCCAAAATCAGTCATCCTGTGATTGGCTTTTTTCTGATGAACTGAGCCAAATCATTATCCTAGAGATGTTTAGTTCAGTCACTGCTTCCTGGTTTAGTCATCCGAATCAATTAGCAGTTGGTAATTGCACGCTGAGTGCCAGACACCGCATTTCCTCATCCATCCATTTAATATTCATCCCCCTAGGGTCTCATAAGGAGGCTTCCTACGGGCTGGGGTACACAGGAGTCCCAAGCAGGCAAACATAGGTGCCAAAGTACGTATGCCACTGTCTAGAATTCACCCTTCCCCTCAGGAGTGATGGCTAAATTCCCCTCTCGAGTCACAAATCAGGACAGAAAGGACAGGTATATTTTGTCCTTGTCATAGTCAATCTGGCCCCTGAGTGAGGAGAAGTGCCAGCCGCCTCCAGAAAGCATGAGTGGGTTGGATTAGATGTCAACTCATGGGTGAATCCAATCCTCAGGGACTCCCACTGAGGAAAGCTTGGCCTTGCTGGAGTCTGTGGCCAAGCTTCTATGGCTCTGCGCTCTAAGACACCATTCCAAAAGCCCGCCAGATGGCTCAGCTGAAGACTTGCCCTCCCCCCCAGCATGCCCACCTTCTTCCTGCACAAAGCACACCCCTAGGCATGCGCACCAGCAGCACAGAGCTGCGTCCTTCTCAGCAGAGAGTCTCCGCCAAGGAACAGGATGCATGAATGGAGCTTGAGGGAGAGGACAGCACGTTCCGGGGTCTCTGGACATCGGGGTTGGTTCCTGGCTCCAGGATTCAGGACTTTACATTGTCCTAGTGTGGCCTCCACCAGCCGGTCAGCTCCGAGTGTCCCTGTGGCTTTGGCCCTTCCTAGCACCATTTGTGATACAGCCACGGTCACTTAATGAAGAGGACAAGCAGGGTGCTGCTTGCTCATAATCCCAGCCCTTGGGAGGTAGAGTCAGGAAGGGTTAAATTCAAGGTCATCTTCATCTACATGGAGAGTTCAAGGCCAGCCTGGGCTTTGTGGGACTTAGTTTCAAAATAAAAATTTTAAAGCACATTTATCTTTAAGGAGAAAAAATAAAACTGACCTGAACTTCCAGGATGAATTCCAGGCCCAAGCCTCACACGAAATACCCAGGGTCTCTCTGCATCCACAACACGTCTGTATCTGTCCTGCAGAGGGCGCTGTCCCTCAGGGGCTCTGTCCAGCTACAGAGCACAGGGCAGATGGTTGAGGTTTCAAAGTACTCCAGAGGAAACACAGGTGTTTCAGGACCTCTCTTCCTGTGTGGTTTCTGTTGAAGATGCTCTTGAATGGCAAAGATGGAATTCTTCTGGTATTTCTACGCTGGTGTTTAAAAAGCTCTTTCTTGGTGGAGAGGAAGGCCTGAATTTCAGGCCTGGAGCAGCGCCAAGGCAGCCACGAACTTTAGAACCTCAGTGTCAGAGCCCAAGAGCAATGTCAGTGAGAGGCCAGAATCCCAGCCTGGACATAGAGTCAGAGGAAGACCTGAGTTTCAGTATCAAGAGAACCACGAGCCTCAGAACCGGAAGCAGTATCAGAGGGAGGCTCCAGCCTCAGCCCCAGGAGTGATCAGCCGGTGAAGCAACAGCAGCACTTTACAGCAGTAGCTTCCAGAAACTATCGCGAGAAGTTCCTCTGGGAAAGAGCACCTGTGTCCCGGCCAGCATCCACTGCCACCTCTCTGTTGGAGATACCCCGCTACTACATTGACCACTGGACCCTCAGCCCCGCCTACACCGGGAGGAGCGTCCACGGGAGCTGTAGTCCCACCTGCACAGCGAGGAGTGACCACCTGAGCATTGGGCCCACTTCCACCAGGAGGAGCATTCACCGGAAGCTCTGCTCTACTGGTGCCTGAAGGAGGGGTCAATGGAGCCACAGCCCCCAACTATACCACTGGAGAAAGAGAGACCTCCTGAAGCACAAGCTCCACATATACCGATTAGAGGAAAAGATGCGTAGACAGCAAGGTAAGAACACACTCAACAACATAAAGAGCGATACGGCAGCACTAGAAACTGGTGATGCTACAACAGCGACACCTGAGCATCCCAACACAGATGAAGTAGAAGAAAATGACCTAATAATAACTTTATAAGGATGATTGAGGCCCTTAAAGAGGAAATGAAAAATTCATTAACATTGACGGCAGCTTATGCTGGAGAAAGGGGGACACTCTTCCATTTCTGGTGGAAGTGCAAACTTGTACAGCCACTTTGGAAATCAGTATGGTGATTTCTCAGAAAATTAGGGATCAACCTACCTCAAGACTCTGCAATACCACTGTTGGGCATACACCCAAAGGAGGCACATTCACACCACAATGACATTTACTCAACTATGTTCATAGCAACATTGTTTATAATAGTCATATCTTGGAAAGAGCCTAGATGGCCCTCAACTGAAGAATGGATAAAGAAAACGTGGTACATTTGCACAATGGAGCACTACACAGCAGTAAGAAACCATGACATCCTAAAATTTGCAGGCAAATGGACAGAACTAGGAAAAAAACATCCTAAGTGAGGTAACCCAAAACCAGAAAGACAAATATAGTATGTACTCACTCATTAGTGGATACCAGACATAAAGCAAAAGATATCCAGGCTACAATCCATAACCCCAGAGAAGCTAGGACCCTCTTCCAGAAACAGATGGAAGCAGACACAGAAATCCGCAACTAACCAATGGGCCAACCTCCTGGAGTACAATCAAAGTGAGGGGGGAGTGATAATATGAACAAAGGAGTCAAGACCATGATGGGGAATCCCACAGAATCAGCTGACCCGAGCTAGTGAGACATCATTGACTCAGGTCCGTCAAATGGGGAACCTGCATAAGACCAAACTAGACTCCCTTCATGCAGGTGACAATGGTGTGACTGGGACAATATATGAGGCTACTGGCAGTGTGCCCAAGATCTAACACTAATGCACAAACTGACTCAGTGGACCATTCTATATGGAGAGATACCTTGCCCATCCTAAACACAGGGGTGTGGGGGTGGAGAGAAGCCTTGGTCCTGCCTGGATGATGGTAAAACTTAGGCTTCCTAGGGGAGGCCTCATCCTGTCTGTGGAACAGAGGGGAGGAGGGGGTAGTGGGGGGAGCTGGAGGAGAGGAGGGAGGGGGAACTGGGATTGGAATGTAAGAAATAAACTAATAAAAAAAGTGTAATAAAAAAAAACCAGCTCTTGGTGTGAACAGTCCTCTTAGCTGAAATGGGACAGACCACCTCATGCCTGTGAGGTCAGCACTGCATTCCCAGATGCTGATTGTGGCCATGCTTCCTGGCTTGAGGCTACAGTAGCCCCTGCTTTAAGATTCTGGTGGCCACCAAGGCATAAGGACACTGGCCTTACTCCCCCACTCATGGGATTCTGGAACTGAACAAGCTGAATATAGCTCCTTGTGGGGGCTGAGCACAATGCTACTCTTACCACCAAACACTTGCTGACTGGGGACACAGAAGTCAGGAGACGGGGCGTGTCTCCTCCATGACCCTCCTGGGCTCCATGCTGGGGATTCCCCAGCTTGCCTATCTGCTCACCTCAAATGCCTCTGTTAGGTTAGCCATAGGGATATAGAGAGCCCCATCACCCCTTGGATGGGCTGAGGAGTTCGGGACCATGTGGCCCGTTCTCCTTCAGCAATGCCAAGTTCTCCCATCCAGTAATCAATGGTGACGGAGGCACAAAATCCCCAGGCTGACTGGCCATGCCAAGTGCAGAGCAGGGCAGTGTTTGGAAGTTATTCCCAGCACTGAGCTTAAGGGGCTGACAGATAAAAGCATCCTGCTTCTGCATGTGAATTTCAAAGGCAGCAAGTGAAACGCCCTTCCTAGCCTCTCTGGAAACAACAGACATGCCTGCGTTAGCTGTTTATTAGGTGACTAGATTCACCCAGTCCGTGGGTGCCAGGGGACGATGCCAGCCTGTCATAGAGTTGGGAGAGTTCATTTGGCTCTGGGAGGCAAGCAACGGCCCGGGCTATCTAGCGGCGTGGCAGCTTCATTTGAACCCTACCTACCCCAAGGATCTTAACTCTGCCTGTCCCTCGGGCCCTCACAGGTTAAGTCTCGAGAACCGTTCCCTAGCAGCGACTTAACGTTCACGCAGAGTTCTAGAATTAAAACGTCTCTCGTTTTCTTTAGCCGCATGGGAACGCTAATTATAGGCATTCAGCCTCCGATGCATATTTATTTTGTTCACCGCTAGCCTCGGCTTGTAATGAAGTGTTGGTGCGTCCAAGTTCTTCCAGCATGTTCTGGGGCTGTCGCTGATGAGGGCAGGTGGCTGAGGAAATGAAGGGTGTTCTCCGTTTCTATAATTATGTCATCATGTTACAGTTAATGTGCATAGCCAGGGCCAGGGAAGTCACACAGATCGCAGCCTGCTGGTCCAGACCCTATGGGGAAGCCGCCCTAGGCAGCTGTCCACCCCAGACAGGTCACTTCCCTTGTGGCTGGGTTGGGGCGGCTCGTGAGTTGTGGTCAGTCTTTCCAGCTCGGCGGTACCTGCCAAGTGAATGAAGTGTCAGGGTGGGCAGGTGAGTGAATGACAACACCTCGGTCCCCTTCTGAGTCGTAGCTCCTAACAGTCTGTGGCTTACAGTGACAGCAGCACCCTCAGGGCGCTCCCATCCCAGACGGAGAAGGCGAAGGACTTGAATCTCCTCTCCACCTTCCGCCTGAGGTCCCGCATCTGAGGTATCACTGCATGGCCTGAGGAAAACCAGCCTCTGTCTGCCCCCCTGTCGAATGCCAAGTGACAACCCTCACTGTGGCCACCGTGGGGATTAGAGACATAACTCGCCAAGACTGTGTGTTTGGGGTTTCTCCAACACCCTCCCCGTTCTTCATCCAACCATTCTGACACAGGGTCTTCTCAGAGCTGTGAACACCAACCACGGGTCTGTTTGGCCCTTTCCGCTACTTCAAGACACACAGAGAGGCCTGCTTGGCGCTGACTTTAAAAATCGACTTTATTTCTTCTCCAAGAACATCTGCTGTTCCTCAACTAATACTTGGGTCAGGAACGGCAGGCAGCAGCTGCGTTGGGGCAGCGCCCCTAATGGCAGCCTTGTACGCAGCAGCCTTCTCCCACCCTGTCCCTCCCCCCACATACTCAGTGACAGCCCTCCATCACAGGGCTCTGAGAGAGAGTCCAGAAAACCCTCATCCAAGGTGTAAGAGAACCTCTCTAGGCACCAGGAAATCCCAGAGCCACTCAAAATCATGTGTCTCTCCTTTGCAAGGGATTGCAAGGGACAGATGTCCCCGACGTGTAGGTCCTAAAGCCAGTGGTCCTCACGGCACACCTTCCTATTCTGATGCAGTGCTTGGCCTTAGTTGTTCTCTGCTGCCCCGGGCCTCAGGGGGATGGGACAGACCTTCCCACGTACCATTCTGGAAGCCTGAATGGCTTGAGGCTTCCCCCTTCCCCTCCCTCCCTTCCTCTAACTGTAGTCTCACTCACCTGTAGGGCTCTTCCCGAAGAGTGCCTCGCCCTGCCCTGGCATCAGCATCGTGGGAAAAAGGGACAGCCAAAGAAACACACCCTGAGTAGAGCCAAAAAAACACACTCTGGCCCTGAAATCAGAGTCAAATCTGACCCTAACCCTGTGCAGAAAACTAGCCAATCCCTGAGCAGGAGATGTAGCCATGTAAACTCAGGGATTGAAATTTGACCAATCCCCACCGTGGAAGCCCAATATAAACCCTGTGTCTGTTCAGCTTGTGGCTGTTCGCGCTACCCACTGTCTTCGGCCACTCTGGCAGAGGGCAGCCACTCTCCTGGATTCTTTCCTCCCAATAAACCCCTTCGATGACCATTGGGTGAAGACCTTCTTTTGCGGGGGAGCAAAGATGCCTCTGGGCAGAGCAGAGTGAGCAGGGCTGTAACACTTCGGCTGGGGAAGCCTTCCCCTGGCAGAGCAGAGCTAAACTGTAGCAACTTAGCCCACCCGGGAAACCTTCTCCTGCCGGAGCAAAACTGTTACACTGGGCAAACATCTCCAGCTGGAAGACCCTCTCCTGCCCTCCTGCTGGAGCAGAGCCAATACACTGGGAAGCCTTTCCCTGAGGCAGGGCTGTAAGCTGCTACACTTACTACGGTCCTTGGCTCCCGAGCTCCAGGATACCTTTCCATCTGAACTGTGTAACACTCAGTATTCTGTGACTCCCAAGTGCCAGAATACCTGTCCCACGCGATCTGCCTGAAATGCCTACAAGAATCTATAGGCAAAAAAGTCTAACAAAGTGAAGAAGGTTCTCGACCGATGCCCAGATTCTGTCCCCACCTGAGTTTTACACCCAAATTATCTGGCTTGCCACACTCATAACAATAACAGCATCGGGGATGTGCTCGCCTGCCTTGCCATAGCTGTGGCAAAATAACCAAGAGAAACAAGTCAAAGCAGGAAGGTTTTAGTATGGCTGTGGTTTCAGTGATTTCAATCAGTGGTCACTTGGCCCTGCTGCTTCTATGGAGAGGTAGACAGACAGTAGACAGGAATGGGGGATGGAACAAAATGCCAGGAGGCAGAGGGACGACAGGAAGTCCTGAGGGACATGCCATGCCCTCCAAAGGCGTGTCCCCAGGGACCCACTCTCTCCATCCCTGCCCCAGGTCTCTCTGTAGCCCATACAGAATGAACTGATGATTGATCGCTGGCGTTGGAGTACTCTGAATTTGATCACCACTCAATAGTGCCACCTGCTGGGCAGGAAGCCCTCAACACAAGAGCTTTTGTTAGGGGTGACTGCATGTTCAGGTGAAGGAGAAAACTAAAGTCATTTGGAGTGTCACAAAAATATCTAGAACAGTGTTTCTCAATGTGCTTCCCAAGGCTCCCGCAGGTGCCATGTTGGCCTATGCAGAATTCACTGGGAGAGGGAGGGTTAAAGTGTGTTTTCCTTTAAGGCTAAAAATACCAGAGCACACAGACAACCTCTGGGTTACTCTGTGACCTGGGGGTGGCTCCCATTTTCATGCCTGTGCTTCCTGGATGAACTCCCTGGTACCAAGGGTAGATGAACAGACAGCAGACGGTGTCCTCGAGGAATTCCTGGCCTTGGGGATGCAGAAATGATGAGGGAAGATCCTAAGGTCACCGCCCGTGGTAGGGCCGGGGGAAATCCAGCCTTCAAGAGTGGAAGATTGGAAGGGATAGCAGAAGAGAGCCTTGAGCCTCTCGACCATGTGGGTGGTGGGGAGAGGAGGGAGAGGTGGGTACTACATGCAGGGAGCTATGGCAAGCACCTCCTTCCAAATCCGCAAAGCTTAGAAAGTTGAAAGCAGAGGCAAGAATCTGTCCTGATTCTTATTCAGGACTATTGGAAAAGGACACTTGTCCTTCCACCTCTGAATCCCCCAGAGCCTGGGTCTGCATTGCCACTAGGACTATGACATTCAGGAAACATGGAAGATCAGGGATTGCTCCCGGAAGAAAATGATGGGCACCTCAGAACTTGGAGGTACCCATGGATAGAGCCAGAAATGAGGACCAGTTGAGAGCTTATCATGGGTACCTATTAAAGAAAGCTATTTTCTAAGAACGCCATCCATGAGGCCTTTTGTGCCAGGGGCCAATAAAAGTACCATCTGGACCTCAGAACATCTACATGGCAGCCAAGACACTAGCCAAAATGGATGACTGGACTCCCCAAACCACAAACTCCAGATACCCAAGGGAAGAGCAAGCAGACCAGTCACCTCAGCCGCTAGCATCTAGGATCCCCAGAGGTCAGGGGTGAGGGCGGCCTACCCAGCAGCACCCACATGTCAGGTAACCATTCATAACCCCAATTCCAGGGGAATCCTGCGCCCTCTTCTGGCCTCTGTGGGCACTGCACACACGTGGTGCACATAGGTACATGCAGACAAATGGTCAGACACAGAAAAACCAAACTTGAACACATCTTTTTACAGGGATATAATTTAACCTACAGCTGTACCCCTTCTTGAGGAAGCCTGCATCCAATGACACTGTGTTAGTCTTCTCTTTACTGTGACAAAATTCTAGAGGAAATGAGGATTGGGCGGGTGAAACAGTTGTACAGGTAAAGTGTTTGCCGTGCAAACCTGGCGACCTGAGTTCAACCCCCAGAACCCTCACATGTAAATGTGAAAGACAGGACTGCCTCGAACCAAGATGGTGGGCAGGAAAACCCTGCAAAGTCAGCAAAGGAGGACACTAGCTTCCAGAAGAGCACACGACACTTTTTCCTTATGAGTTGCAATGACCAAGACTTTCTATGCAAATGTGTGTAAAAAGATACATTTTAAAAAGGGAGAAAAAAAAGAAGTTCTATGCAGCTGGGGCAGAGGGGAGACAGAGTGGCATGCCAGTCTCTTCTCTGGGAAATGTTCAAGCAATCCAAGTTCACTTGGCCGACAGTTATGGAGGTCATGAAGGTCAGGGTGGGGACGCAGTTTCCTGCCACGTCTGTAATGTGGTGGGAGGTGAGAGAACACGTGACACGAGAGGAGAGGGTAGAGGCAGACCCACTCTGTGACAAGTCCCCTCTCCGAACAATGCTGCCAATCAATTCATCAGGCCACAGGCCTGCTGACGTAACCACCTGTGATGCTCCTGCCAGTTGGCACTTTTACACTTGGGGTGGTGTTGAGGCGTGAAGTATGGGGGACACTTTCAAGCCCAGCAGGTGGAGATGCAGTTGGGAAAAAAAAAGCCACAAGAGAGGGTACTTGTTCTGTGGTACTGCAGAGGACACTGCTTGCTATCCTCAAAGCAGCATGGAGAGGACTCACGGCACTGTGAACCCAGAGACCAGGGAGACGTACAGCCACAGCAGGCTCATGTGTGCCCACAGCATCCAGGGTCACCTGCCACCCCTGCACAGCAAACAAGCTGCTGAGAGAGTTCCAGGAAGCTGCGAGAAAAACCACAGTACCTTAAAGAGACATTCTCGGGCCCAGCACGGCTTCCGGGTCTCTGTACAAACTCCACACCAAGGAGCTAGCCCTGGAAAAGTGAAGGCAATTCCCCGCCCAACGCCAGCTACATACAGACCGTCAGTCACTTCACTCCCTCTTGCTATAGGCACCAGAGCCTCTCACAGCTGTCTGCACGCCCAACCAAAATATTAAAAGAAATATGTGTGTGCTTTGGTCTCTGCGCCGCCAGCATCTCGCTGTGCATTTGTGACTATCATCTGAGCTCCCTGGCAAATGAACACAGGGGAAGAATGGGACCCGATGGGCGTGGGGCTCGGCGGGGGTGGGGGCAGAGGTAGGAATGTCTCTGCAACCTCCGCAGCCAGCTGTGACAAACCATGGGAGGCAAGAAGGCGGTTTGGTTCAGTACGACCAAGTAGCTGGTGCTGGTTCAAACTTTAGAAGTCTGACCCCAAGTAGTTTATTTTAGGCATATTTAAGCCCAGCACGATTGGTGAAAACTTATTCCGGTGACAATTACCTCAATCCTGCGTGCACAATAAAGCACACATAAATCTCTCCAAGGAACAAAGTAAGCTAAATAAAGATGGGACGTGACTACAGCAAAACTCTTTGTAAAGTGCATGTGACACCTTCCATTAAAAAAATGGGTTCTATAGATTGACTGACAAAAATAAACGTATGACAAAGGGCTGGAGGAGGGTCCGGTGTGGTCTCCAGACACACAGACACACAAAGGTTACCAGGCTATCATGGACATCCACTCCTGGCCTTCTGGGCAGATAACAGGGGTTGCAGTCCTTCCCTTGAGACAACTCCTGGTGCTAATAGTCCAGGTTCCCCTAGAGCTCATCTGTGGGCACGAGGACCTTCATGCCTCCCACAGACAGGGCAGCCCTCCCGGCAACATTGTCAGTTCAGCTGTCCCTGCCCTCAGCGCTCAGTGTCATAAAGTCACCTTTAGGCTAAACCTGAAAAAGTAGACATGAGCCTTAACTCTGAGACTACAGTGGGGACCATCAGGAGCCCTCCCTGACTACCTCTACAGAGACCCCCACATCGGGGCGAGTCAGATCTCTTGTAGACCCTTGGGCACTGCCTGTTTTCATTGCAGGAATAATAAAAACTCAGAATTGGAAGCCGCTGAGGCACCATCTAGTCCGTTCTTTCCCTTTATTTTACAGATGACAAAATTAAGCCACGTGGGACAGGTACTCTGCAGGAAGCAACAAATAAGCAAATAAAATATTTGGAAAAGATGGATGCCTGAGGCTAGGGAGGTGGCTCAGTGGCTGGGACAGTGTACTGCTCTTGCAGAGGACCTGAGTTCAACTCCCAGCACCCACAGCAGGTGGCTCACAACCACCTGTAACATCAGGTCTAGAGAATCCAACGCCCTCTTCTGGACTAAAAGAGCAACTGCACTCATGTGTACATACAGAGACACATCACATAAAAATAAGCAAAAATAAACCTTTTCAGGGTCTGGAGAGATGTCTCAGCAGTTAAGAGCACTGATTGTTCTTCCAGAGGACCGGGGTTCAATTCCCAGCACCCACATGGCAACTTACAACTGTCTGTAACTCCAGCCCAGGGGATCTGACAACCTCACACAGACACAACACACATGCAGGCAAAACATCAACGCACGCACAATAAAAATAAATAAATCATTTAAGGAAATAAACCTTTTTTTAAACGTATGATGCTCACATACGTGAACATCAAATGAGTTACAATTAAATTCTACAAGTTACTGTTTGAAGACTTCTGTCCCCTCCCTCATAGGCCATAGGACAATGTCTGATTGTTTGGGCGGCTGAGGAATTAAATCACTTTCAGAAACCCCTGCCCCCACCATGGAGACTCTGCCTGAATCTACATAACGCCACACAGAAGGCTTATTTTAGAATTAGATCATTTCCTTACCTTCAGCATCTGACTGGGTTGCTCTGCTGGTACCGCTTCTCAGAGCTGTAAATTCTCCTGTCGGGTCGCACATCATGGGAACTGAAATCTCCTAATGAGAGAAGGGTGAGACCTTTGGTATACTCTCTATAACGTTACTTTCAGAGCCAAACAACTCAAAGTGGGGAAGCCAAGGGGCTTGCTGCAGGCCAAATGGAAGACCACTGAAGAAATGCTGGAGAGGCGGCTCCAAGGCTAAGAGCAGGGAGAAGGTCAGAGTTCAGTTCCCAGAATCCATTCTAGGCAGCTCACAGTCCCTGTAACTCCAGCCCAGGGGCATACAACACCTCTGGGCTCCGAGGGCCCCTACGTTTCTGTGCGCACACCATGTGCACACGGCCGCCCCCACACACACATAATTAAAAATAAAAATAGGTCTTTAAAAAGAGGAACAGAGAAGACATAAAGATATCAGAAAAGGCTAGTTAAATACGAAGACAGGAAATGTTGCTTCTGTTTCCAAGAGGGGGTAAAAGGTAAATTCTAGAAACACACTGCCAAGACTTGATCCGTTTGGGGAAAAATACCAGCATGGAATGTTTGGGATTTTTGTCTCAAGTTTTTTTTATGTCTATGGATATTTGCTTGCATGTATGTCTGTGCACGGTGTGTGTAGCTGGTGCCTAAGGAGGCCAGAAGAGGGCATAAGATCACCTGAGGCTGAAGTTACAGTGTTGTGAACCGCCACAGTTCCAGTCCAGCCAGAGCTACACAGAGAGACGTTGTCTCAAAACAAAAGTAAATTTTAAAAAGCCTCTGTAAAGGTTAGGCGCTACACTAAATTTTCCTACCACAATAAAAAGCAAACATTTAAAAAAGTACTAATAATGAGGCTGGAGAGATGGCTCAGCTGTCTCTCTGCCGGTATTTCCTTGTTTTGATTACTTGGTGGTCAATAGCTGATTTTCCCTCAGGCATGCTGGTTCTACAAACCGGTGGGGAATCTGTCAATCAGGAGGGGTCCCTAGATAGAGGTCCCTTGCTCTGAGAGCTGCTCTTGCAGAGGACCCAAACTCCATTCCCAGCACACACAACAGGCAATTCACAACTGCCTGTAACTCCACTTCCCCCGAGCTCCAACACCTTCTAGATTATCAGCACGCGCAATCACACACAATTTTTAAAAATCTTTTAAAATAATACTAATAAGCCGGGCGGTAGTGGCGCACGCCTTTAATCCCAGTACTCGGGAGGCAGAGGCAGGCAGATCTCTGTGAGTTCGAGGCAGGGCTGGACCGACAGCCTCGAAAACAATACAGAGAAACCCTGTCTCGTAAAAACCAAAAAATAAAAATAAAAAATAAAAATAAAAATAATACTAATAAATGATGCTCCAGGCTTTGACAGCTACGGTGCTTTGAATGTAGAATCTGCCCCGTGGGCTCATGTGTTTGGACACTCAGTCCCCAGTTGGTGCCGGTGTTTGGGGGGAGTTTTGGGGACTTTTAGAAGGCAGACCTGGGGACCGGTGTGGGGTTTATAGCCTAGCTTGCTCCCTGTGCTCACTCACCACCACCACAAACACAAAGTGACCGGCTGCCTCTCGCTCCTACCAAGCCTTCTCCGACATGCTGCACTGGGGCCTCTCCAACTGTAAGCCCAAAATAAACCCCTTCTCCCCTAAATTGCTTCTTGTCAGGTATTTGGTCACCACAACCAAAAAAGTAACTAATACAACAGCTAGGATCCATAGAGAGTTGAGAAAGTCGTGCTTAGCTGCGCTGCAGGCCAGTAGGCAGGACGTTTCCCAGGGAACACGCAGATGACAGTGAAAAAATGAGACAAAGAATCCCCCAGAAGCCTACACTGTAGCCACAGAAATGACAGAGACCCTTCTTGAAGGTCCCTAGGACCTTCAGCTCTGGCCTGAAGGTCCTAGGATGGTTCTTTCTCCCCAGGAACAAGTGTCCTCACTGCTAGGGGCTGCTGTGTGCCTGGGGCTGTCTGCCAGGGCTGTATTTCCACGCTCCCCACAGGCTTAGCCAGTGTTAGTCCCATGAAACGGCACACACTCTATCAAGAATATCAGACTTAATCAAATACAGTTCATTTTGGCCACAAACCTTTTGGAGGTGACTGCTAGTGTTCACTTTCTCATGAGGGACCTCTGAAGGAATGGATGGGGTTCCTTCCACAGTGAAGCTGGGGCGCCCAGGTTGCCCACACTCCTGGGAAGCCGGCTACAGTTGCTTGTCCAACCTGAAAAACCACTTTCTGTGTTTTGAGTGTTAATGAGGGGAGCCCCTCCCCACTCATGCCTGGCCTCCCCCCACACACATTGCTTATTCTTAGACTCTGTATCTTTTCTGCAGAATTCATCACTAAGAGAGTTTAAGACCCAAAACACAGACTACAAAAAGAACATTCCCAGAGGCATTGATGGGACCCCCGAATACAAACACACATTCATTCCCACTGAGCAAAATTACTGTCGGGGGAGCAGGGACTCCCGTAATTAAAGGCGATTGGTGGAGAACTGCCGAGCAAAGCTCTTCCCTCAGCCGAGCACCTGCACCCCAAGAGCAGGGCTGGTTTGTTTGTGCAGTCTCAGGGGATGCCTTCCTGGCTGACAGACTCCCCACAGGTTTGTAGAACCAACAAACATCCAAATAAGTAACAATCAACGCCTCTCAGAGATCAAAACTAGGCAAATACTGGCGATGTCATGAGCATGGCTTGTGACAGTTCCATCAGTAGAAGGATTTCCCCATCCAATTTGAGTCTGCAGCCCTCATGCTCTCTTGTATCTCTGGTTATTTGTTCCCAAACCCTACTTCCTCCTCAAAAATCAGTGTCTTGGTTAAAGTTACTATTGCTGTGATAAAACACCAGCAGCAAACACTCTTATCTCCCAAGCTCCTACAAAGCAGCCCACTGAGCTCTCAACACTCTGTAGCTTTTCTAGCCGAAGTTCCAAAGTCCTTCCACAATCCCCACCATCACCACCAAAGACAATTCGGTCAGGCCTGTTACAGCAATAGCCAATTATCCTGGTACCAAGTGGTCTTAGTTAGCATTACGATTGCTGTGATGAAACACCATGACCAGAAGCAAGTTGGGGAGGGAAGGGCTCATTCCACCCACAGTTCCGTATAACTGGTCATCACCAAATGCAGCAAGGGCAGGAACTCAGGCAGGACAGGGACCTGGAGGCGGGAGCTGAAGCAGAAGCCGAGGAGGGGAGCTGCTCACTGGCTCGCTCAGCCAAACATGCCCCGTTATTGAGTTCCTCTCCCGTTCCCGGTTCCGGGTCGTCATCCTTGAAAGTGACACTGTTCATGGTGGCTCTTGGGCACTGCTGGTTCCTCTTGCTTCTGGAAGAAGGGCTTAGCAGTTCCCTAGGAGATGGCAGAGAGACCCAGGGCCCGCTAGAGGTCAGAATGCTTTCCCGGAATGGAGGATTACATGGGCTTGGGAGTCGGGGGGCAGTAAGGAATTGGCTCGAGTGGCCATGGAGGCTGAGAACCCCCCCAGGCCCACGGGCAGCAATCTGGAGGCCTGAGAAGGTGGGCGTGCAGGTCTAGTCCGTATCATGACAAGCTCAGGGTGGACGTGAACAGTTGTCCAGCCCTGCTGGACCACCCCAGCTAGCTCTCCCAGGGGTTAGGCCTGGCCCAGGCTCGGGGTAAGCTGGATGGATTTGTCCTGAGAATTGGGCAAGGTCTTAAATGGACAAAAGTGAAGACACTGGGCTCATTCTCTTGACCTGGAACCAAAGTCACACATTTTCATAGCAATCCCAGGAGCCACTGGGAGCCAGAATGTGAACTAAAGTAACCCTGTTAGCACCCAGTTCAGTCACCCACAGCTGGCACCCAAACATTTGGCCTCTAAGTACCAATTCGGGTGTTAAAATCTTGACACTCCTCCATGTCTACTGACGGAACTGCTACCACCTAACCCAGCCCGGCAAGCCCTCCTCACACAGAACACGAGGCTCCCATACCCCTTCAGGGTAGTGGCAAATGTTTAGAACTGCCGCACTGACCCCCCCCCCCGACGTAAATGGCCACAGTGGAACGAGAGAAAACAGTAATTACTCAAGGCCCCAGAAGGATACAAAGCCACCGGGCGCCCCCTGCTGCCCAAGAGATGTGTTGCAACCACTGCCCACTCAGCCCCTCCCACCACCGCTCTGATGATCAGAAACATAATTTTGGAGAAAACTAAAGAATAAAGGAAAATGACACTGATGTCCCAGGATTTTTCCAATGCTTGAAATGCCTTCGGTTCTTACTAATAATCAAAGTGAAACTGGGTGCTCTTCCTCATCCGAGATGGGGTCGAAGAGGTGTGGATCTTGGCGACATCTTCCTTACCTGGGGTCGCCAAGATAGCCCGAGGTCGTCTGACCCCCAATGTCTACTCCTAGATGCCTATGTAACCATCTGAACTTCACAAAGCAGTTAGTGCACTTTAGTGAGAAACACTAGTGGACACTTCTAACCAAACAAAGTATGTTAAACTGTTTTTTGTCCCTTTGTTTTTTGTTTGTTTTGTTTTTTTGAGACAGGGATCTCTATGTAACACTGGCTGTGCTGGAACTCCCTGTAGACCAGGCTGGCCTCGAGCTCACAGAGATCTGCCTCCCTCTGTCTCCCGAGTTGCAGGGATTAAAGGCATGCACCACCACTCTCCTGAAACCCTGAACTTCTGATCCTCCGTCCCCACCCCCATTCCCCATGCCCCATCCCCCACCCCTATCCCCCATCCCCCACCCCCACCCTGAGTGCTAAGCTTGCTGACTTGGGCCACCAGCCCAGTTTACACAATGGGGATAAACCCCGGGCTTCATCCACAGCTCTCTACCAACTGAGCTATAGAGCCAGCCAGCATCTGTTATTCTAGCTGGCTGTTAGGGAATTTCTTTAACCGTCTTCCAGATGTTTAAATTGGTATTAAATTGTATAATGCCCACTTGCTGAAATTGATCAGGGGAACTCCTGGGGAACATGTGGAGCAAGAGAGTGTCAGTCAGCTGTACCCCTACCTGCAGCCTGAATGGACGCCTTCTGAGTCATTGCGGGTGGATAGACTTCATGGTCCTTCACCCGCCACCTGCACCTTGGACAAGTCACTAAACCCCATGATGTTTCTTTGTCCCCCACATGTCAGTGCCTGGGCCCTGTGGGAACTGGTCACTAGACCGTTTGGTTTCATTTGGTTTGGTTTTGAGATGGGCTCAACAGGTAGTCCAGGCTGGCTTGGAATCCACAGTCCTTCCTCAGCCTCCTAGGGACCGGGAAGAAATATGAACAAAGACAGACTAAGAAATGGTCTGCTTCATAATGCATCTCAGAAGAGGTCCAACCCAAGCAACAGAACAGCCTGTGGTCATGCATCTCTTCACAGCAGCAGAACCCTACCTGAGACGATTATGGTCAAAAGTACTGTTTCCAAGGCACACAGGCAGGAGAAGTGACCCAAGATGGCTTTTGTAGTTTGGTTAGAAGCTTTTGTAGCTTGGCCCTTTCTTCCTCAACTTCCTTAACTGTCAACTTGTCAGGACCTGAGGTCACCTGAGAGAGAGGGGGGGGAGAGGGAGAGAGAGAGAGAGAGAGAGAGAGAGAGAGAGAGACCTCCAGCAATGTCTTTGAGGGCATCTCCAGTGTTCTGGAGGGCAATGAGGGAGACACATGTATACTGAACACGGTTCCATTTACCCAGCAGCATGATCAGCACAAGCCTCCTCAGGACTCTATGACTCCCTTCAATCCCAGCACTCGGGAGGCAGAGGCAGGAGGATCTCTGTGAGTTCAAGGCCAGCCAAGTCTACAGAGCAAGTTCCAGGACAGCCAGGACTGCTATACAGAGAAACTGTGTCTTGAAAAAAAAACCCTAACTCCATGAGTCATTATTTATGAAGGCATGGATGGAAGCAGAAGACACTCTGCTCAGTGGGAGACAGCAGGCACTAAAGACTGATGCCATGGGCTTCCAGGCCTTATTTGTAGAATCTAAACTGATGAAATTCAGGGAAGCAGAGAGCAGAAGGGAAGTTGCCAGGGCTCAGGATGGGAAAAGCTAGGTGACTTCAATGGAAGAAACAAAGGCTTACCAGACAAAAGAAATTATTATTGTGTTTTGGGGTCTAGCACATAACGTGGGAAACAGCAAAATGTAGACCACACATTTTAAAGTTGCAAACAGAGGGACTTCCAATGGTCTCACCACACACACACAAAAAAAGATGTGCTTGAAGCTCTGCTCTAACGTCCTCATCCCTCCTGTGGCATTTATGTGCTCCACACCCCCAAATAAATAAATGGATGTAAACTTAAGGAAGAACACATTTGAGATGACCGATAGGTTCATGTGTCCCCCATCCATGGAGAAGGCTTCAAGCCAGCCCTGGCCTGGTCCCAGCCCGGGCTCCCAGGAATCTGTGGGTGTTTGCTCAGGGCTAATAAACCTGCATCTGGGAACTCTTCCAATGGACTTTAGAAACAGCTAAATTCCAAAGCTGGGATCATTCTGTTCGTCTTGGAGGAGACCCTAGCGAGCCTTCTTCACCTGGCCTTCAACTCTTACTAACACGCCCATGTGATGAATTTTCCATAGCTGGAGTGTGTGTCTCGGGGTAAGAGGCCTCCCGACTCTGCAGATCTCACCATGTCTAGAGCTAACCCCAGAAGACACAATGCCTCTGGGTTCCATGGGGGCCTCAATCAGCCATCATGAAGCCAGGAACACAGAGCAATTCCATTCAAAAGGCAATCATGTTGAAAGTCCAGACATTTGACAACAAAATAGCTGGTGTATCGCTTCACCCTCACTATTTGCCCTGAAAATAGATGTTTGTGATCAGCTCAGAGAAGTGCATTCCTAGGCTCTAAACTTTAACCTTAAACAACTGACTTCCATGGAAATATTCAGTCTCCTCACTCACTAGCAACCTGGCCCATCGTGAGAGCTAGTTTAAACATCAACAGCCACTTTAATATGTGCTGTTGCTCTTCCTGTCACTAGAGAACATGACCAAGCACCCCATGCTGAAGCACCCCAGCAAAGCACATGGCTGTCCCTAACAGATGAGTGCCATGGCCCGTGTCAGCCTGATGAGGACTCCCCTTGGTGCACAGAAAGGACCTTCTGGAGGCAACAGCCTCCACTCTCTCTAAGAAAGAAAAAAATCCTCTGCCTCCAAGTTTGAGGCTAGCCTGGGCTACAGAATGAGTTCTAAGACAGCCAAGGCCACACAGAAGAAACCCTGGAGAGAGAGAGAGAGAGAGAGAGAGAGAGAGAGAGAGAGAGAGAGAGAGAGAGAGAGAGAGAGAGAGAGAGAGAGAGAGAGAGAGGTTGTTTCTGGGCTGCAAGGAATTCCGAGCTGCTGCTCTTAGACATGGTGAGGTGGTGAGGACTCATCTTCATGGCGCTGTCTAGGGACACAGCTGCCACCCCAGACTCAACAGCACCCATGAAAACCTGCCTAGTTACGCAGGAAAAGCAAACGAGAGGAGAAATTGCCACAACCCATCTCTCCATTTAGACCCATGTGTGAGTGTTACAGCTCTGAAAGAATGGGTATCCTGGCAGTCCCAAGCCAAGGAATACCACAGAGTCACACTGCACAACCAACCTCACACGAGATTTACTGGGAAAAACACAGGGAGGTGGGTGGCTACCTTGGCTCAGGAGAGAACTGAGTGGGAGGCAGGCTTGTATAGGGTTTCTTGTGGGGTTTTCCCCCGAGGGCAGATTTTTCCAGGGTGGGAATTGGTGGGATTTCAAGTCCTGATCTTGGGGCAAGCTCAGGGACTGATTGGATTCTGAGTTCAGGGACTGGTGGGATTTCAAGACCTGGAATTGAGCTTGGGCTTTTTACCCTACACCATGCCTCCCAGAACTCCACACCTACCTCAGCCCCTTCCTCATGCCAACACCAAAAGATGGTGTTCTAAGGGCCTTCCTGAAAGGAAAGTATCAACCAGGACTCCCAAGACCAAGTTCCCGGCGCAAAGGGGATGTATTTGCTCCAGAAGGAACAAGGACAGGAGATGAGGATGAGGGAGGAGAGCAAGGGAACGAGGGAGAGGGAACAGGGTATTTGTCTAGACAAAGGACTGCCTCTGGATAGAGAGGAGACACGTGTGGCCAATAGGAAAACGGCCGTTTGTAAAGTGAAAGGGGAATCCCCATGTTAAGATGAGTTGGTTTGTTTTGATTGGCCATGTTAATTAGGGCAGCCAAAGGAGGCTTTTGGTAGCTGGACCTTCGCAGTCAGCCTCAGAAGGAGGAAGTGGCCAAGTCAGGGAATGTAACAGATTTTAGCAGGGCCCACCATGTTGCCAGGCCCCGGTGGGTTGGAACCCCTTCACTTCCTGCCCCGGCCCACTGGGTCTCCCCTCCATTTGTCTCTGCCAGAGCCCAGAGTGACTTCAATGCCACCCTTCCGAGGGGTCACACGATGACAGTCTCACCTATCTCTTGACCCTGTCCTGGTGGCCCCAACTCTGCATTTACCTCAGTGCTTACAACTCAACAGTATGCATAATAAACCCCCAAACACCCCTGTGTTTGACTGCATCTGCACCTGACCTCCAGCCCAGGCTGTGCCCCTCCCCTCTCGTCTCTCTTATAGCTAAAATTTCTCACTCCCCAGTTTTGTCAAGGGCAAAATCCTTCCCATATGTGAAGACCAAACCCCTGGGTCCTCTTTCATAATGAACTTTTCTTGGGAAACGCAGCACACATATCTTAGGGTTTCTCTTGCTTTGAAGAGATGCCATGACCACTACAACCCTTTCTGTTGTTTTGTTTTGTTTGTTTTTTTGAGAGTTTTTCTGTGTAGCTTCAGAACCTATGCTGGCACTCCCTATGTAGACCATGCTGGCCTTGAACTCACATAGATCTACCTGCGTCTGCCTCCCAAGTGCTGGGATTAAGGGCATGTACCACCATCACCCAGCCTGACAACTCTTATAAAGGAAAACATTTAATTGGGTGACTTACAGTTTCAGAGGTTTAGTCCATTGTCATCCTGGTGGGACATGGCGGCGTGCAGGCAGACATGGTGCTGGAGAAAGAGCTTCGAGTCCTACATCTTGATCCACAGGCAACAGAAAGCAGACATACGAGACCTCAAAGCCCACCCCCACCGTAAACACACTTTGGCCAACAAAGCCACACCTACTCCAACAAGACCACACCTCCTAATAATGCTACTCCGTTTGAGTTTATGGGAGCCAATTACATTCAAACTACCACAACATGTCTATTCACCCCTCAGATAGGGATCCCACAACAGATCAAAGTATGGATACCACAAAAGTCCAACTAGGTGAACCATTGAGTTTTGGGGGATTTATAATATAAAGTATATGGGTGAGGGGTCACTCACAGAGGTTGTGACTCAGAGACTGTCACTAAAGCCTACTCAAGCATAAGTGACAGCTCACAAAAGCTGGGGACCTAGAGCACACTACAGGTTGGAGAGTGTGTTTTCCAGGTGGCTCAGTTGGTCCCAGCCTCTTCCAGACAGCTCTGGTGGCCTCTGGTTCTTCCAGGCCACTGGGCGGGTCTCAGTCTCCTTTGCAGCTTGGCTTCTCTGAGAGCGGATCCTCTCAGCACTCGCCACTGTTTAATGTTGGGAAAGGTAGAACCTGGTGAGTGTAGTCAGTTTCAGGGACTTCCTGAAGCTATTTTGAGTTGTTTACTTTCTTTTTTAAGGAGCTTGCCCGCCAGAGAGGAAACTGGTACCCAGCGTGAGAGCTAAAGCCCAAAGGGTCCTCCAGGCGCCGCCTATTGGCTGGGCTCCAGGCACCAGAACATCCCTCCACTTTGGGCACCTCCGTCTGCACTCGGTTATTTCTGTTCTCCCCTGGGGGTGCAGGGAAGGAGCGCCTTGCGGAGCAGGAGTTAGGCATGGAGTATCAGGGAAGGAATGAGGGGTCTATCAACAAACCCTTCCAGGAGGTGAGGACCAGGGGCAGAGTGGCTGGAACAGAAGTGATGGGAATGTCTGGGTTTGGCTAGGTTGGAGAAAAAAAAAAAAAGCTACTGGTGCCGCTGAGGGAGCTGGACTGCTCGGGTTTAGAGGAGAAGAAACAGAAGTGGGGTCCGTATCAGGACCGTAAGTCCTCCGTATGTCTTTTATGACGAGCTAAACTCAAGGTCTCCTGGACGATCACTTGGCGCTGTTGGATTCTTACCTGCAGACTGGGTTCAGGACAGCCCTCTTTTTCTGCTGGAGTGTGACTCGTTGGTAGAGCATATGCCTACACATGCTGCCCCGAGATGGTCTGCAAGATCAATGACAGGGCTCCATGGGCTTTCAGGAGGAAAGAACATTGGTGTCCCGGCTAGTTGAGGAAATGCCTCCATAAGACCCAGCTGTAGGGCATTTTCTTAATTAGTGATTGATGGGGAAGGGCAAGGCCGCTGTGGGTGGAGCCATCCCTGGGCTGGTGGTCCTGGGATCTGTAAGAAAGCCCACTGAGCAAGCCATGGGGAGCAAGCACCCCTCCATGGCCTCTGCATCAGCTCGTCTGCAGGCTTTAGTCCTGTTTGAGTTCCTATGCTGACTTCCTTCTGTGATGTGGAAGTGTACGCCAAATAACCTGAAGTTACTTTGGATAAGACAGTTGTCTGGCCCCGGCGCGTCCCCTGGGAGCCTGCGGTGTCCACCAGGGGGCAGCACAGGATCATGCTCTGCTCACCTGCCCACGCAGTTCTCCAGAGCACCGCCTACTGGGGGGTACCCAGCGACACTGTCCCGCCCTCCGGCCCAGGAGAGGGCTGGGCAAAGCACAGACAATCTGCACCCCACAGAGGGGCTCAGATGTCCTCAGTGAGCACTCAGCGGGGTCCGCCCCTTCCCTTGCGCACTCGGGAGCCGCCTGTTCCCTGGGCGACAGTCAACACAGAACACAGCTGGGCGCAGATGCTGCCCCAGCCTGGAGAGTCTGTCCCTATCAGTCACTCAGAGTTCGGGATCCGGTGGGGCGCTCTTGTGCAGGCTTTCCTGGGATAAAAAGTCTCAATCAGTCTCTCTCTTCTCTTCCTTTTCCATTCTCTTCAGTCCCCCATGGGCAGCCAACACGCGGGGCTCCCAAGAGCCACAGCATCCGGGTACGGACTGCCCCCTACCAGACCTCTTGCCTCAGTTTCCAGGACCAGGGATGGCCCTGCAGCAAGCAGGGGTCATGCTGGTGGCTGCCAGGGTGCCACAGTCCCTGGTGTGCAGCAGGACCAGCTGTGGAGGGAGCTCGTGGAAGCCGAAGCGCGAGGCCAGCAGCGGTGGTGAGTGTCCTGCCCCTGCCTCCCTTCTCCCCCAGTCCCACCCCCACCTGCCTCGGTGCTGGGGAAGGGAGAATATACGGAAAAGAGAACCTAAAGGTAAGGGAGGCCGGCCCAGGCCCAGACTGGATCTGAAGCAGCTACAAAAGCCCTGGACCTTGGTCCCAGCAGGTGGCTGGGAATATAGACACAGAGAGGGCTCTGATCCCATCTCCCAACGCGCAGCAATCTCCCCAGATGGACATGGCAGGTTAGACGGGAGGCAGCTGGTGGCGGGTAGCGGGTTCAGCACTGCCTGGGGAGGGATGCTAGCCTGGGGGTGGGCGTGGGCGTGGGTGTGGGGGCCTCCTTCATGCCTTCCGGTTGATAGTAGTCATTACGAGCATAAGAAGGGAAGAGTATGGTGGGTTCCCCCCCAAAAAAATCTAAAATGAAAACAATACCATGCCATCTAATAGTCACCACCTTGGATATGGAGCCGAAGAGACGAGAATGGCAAAGGGGCTCATGGTTCCAGAGGGTTAGGTGCTTTCACCATCATGGCAGACTGCATGGCAACCGGCAGGCAGCCATGGCACAGGCGCAGTAGCTTAAGTCTGCATTCAAAAGCCAGCTGGGAACGGCATGGGCTTTTTAAGCCTGGAAGCCCGCCTCCTCCAGGCACCTCCTCCAACAAGGCCACACCTCCTAATCCTTTCCAAACAGTTCTACCAACTAGGAGCCAAGTATTCAAATGCATGAGACTATGGGGGGCCATTCTCACTCAAACCTCCATAAATGGTGACAACTCAAGCCTGTAACCCCAGCCCTGGGAAGGCAGAGACAGGAGGATCAGAAGCTCAAGGTTGCCAGGTGTGACAGTGAACTCCTTTAATCCCAGCACTCAGAGGCAACTGGGAGTTCAAAGCCAGCCTGGTCTACATAGAAAGTTCCAGACCAGCTAGGACCACGGTACGATCCTGTGTCACAAAAAAAAAAAGAAAGAAAGAAAGAAAAAAATGTCAAGGCCATCCTCAGCTACATAGTGAGTTCTAAACTAACCCAGACTAAAACAGACAAATGAATAAGTAAGAAAACTGTAAGCTTGAAGTGTTAAACACATCTGGAGTCAGAGTTTGTGAGCCGCATTGGTGGCACACGCCTTTAATCCCAGCCTTTGGGAGGCAGGCGGATCTCTGTGAGTTCGAGGCCAGCCTGGTCTCTAAAGGGAGTTCCAGGACAGCCTCCAAAACAATACAGAGAAACCTTGTCTCAAAAAACCAAAAAAAAAAAATTTGTGGAAATTACAAAAACAAGATAGAAAAAGTCTCTGGTCACTCTGTGGGCTGCTCCATAAATACAGCATGGGCATTTGGCACTTATTGTGGCTACATAACATTTTAACTCCTCCGTGGTGGAGTTGAAGATATAGTGAAAATCTTCAGAATATTCCAGGAAAAAACAAACAAACAAAAATCACTCACATTCCTGTGCGTTCCTTTCCAGGGCTGAGAACTGGGGTTTCCTGAAAGACTATGACCCTTTGGTAAGGCACTACCCCCTCAGAAAACTGCTTGCAGAGTGAATATTCACACACACACACACACACACACACACACACACACACACACACACACCGCCTGTGACCTGAGATGTCTCCTCTCCTCAGGGAAATAAGAAGGAGCCTAAGGAGCTGCCTGCAGACACGCCCTTCTTCTCAGACACGGTCCCCAGCTCCACGAGCCGGGAGGTGGGCAGCAGGCTGGACACGGCCCTGGGGAGAGCCCTCACCCACATGGACTTCTTCTTCATGGAAGGCACCCGGAAGAGGAAGCCAGAGGATGAGCTGCAGCCAGTGTAGAGATCTCAGGACAGACGGCAGACGGTGAGTGTGGCATGGACTAAACCCGGGCAGCCCTCAGAGCGTGGGTGCCCTCGGCTCAGTCAGAACACCCCAGGACACAGAACCTCAGCCCTTCCAGGACTCCAGAGATTCTGGGAAGGGAACCCAGTGCTAACTGGGGGAGAGCGTGTCTAATGGGTTCAGTCTGACCTTACAGCCATGAGCCTGCTCACAGCTCCTGCCTCTGTCTGTGGGTGCTGGGACACGTCAGCCTGACGTCATGCTTTGGGAGGAGGGGGCTGCTAGCACACAGCCTTGGGATCTGACCTGAAGGTTGCAGCCGTCTTTCTGAGAGTCTAAGCTCAAAGCCGGGTGCCCTGATAATAGAGTTAGGCAAACGCCACCAGTGAGTACAGTCAGGAGTCAAGGTCGCCCGATGGCAGTATCGTGTGACCTTGAGTCAGAAGTAACTCTCAGGGGCTCAGTACAGGTGCAGCCTGTGTTTTATGTTACTCTACCCACCCTCGCCTCCCAAAGAGCTGTTTCTGTCTGGGTGAGAGAGTCTAGGAGCAAGAAAGAGAAGTCCACACTGGGACTGGAGAGATGGCTCAGCAGCTAAAAGCACTTGTAGGGGACCTAGGTTCCATCCCCAACACCCACAGGGGGGCTAATAATCACCTGTAACTCTAGCTCCAAGGAATCCATTGCGCTTGCTGGCCCCAGAGGGCACCCGAATGCACAGTCGAATATGCAGACACGTTCACAAAAATAAAACTAAAAACAAAAGAAAAGCCAAGGCTAACTGCAGCTCCAGGTGGCTTTACGTGTGCACACTAAAAAGGGACTCATCAAGACTTCTCTCACCTGTCTCCTGGGGCATGGGACCAGGCGCTCTGATCCAGTTCCCAAGCCTACAAGCACAGCCACTTACAGATAGTGCAGAACTTAAACCCAAGTCGCCTTCTTCATAGGTATTTTTGTCACTATCCAAGAAGTCCAGAAACCAAGACAAGCATCTGGGGCATCCTGGTCAATTTCCTGTGGTGTCTGACTCAGGGGAGCAATACCCCTTCCAGGCCTTCGTCTCCACAGTTAGAGGATGGGCAGGAGAGGGGAGGAGACAGATCTCTGGGAAAGTTCTTCGCCAGAGTGCACTGGCCGGCAGGGACCGTACAGCCCAGCCTCCTTCTCCATGCACAGACCTTGACTGGAACATCACACTAGGAGAAGATCTTATAAAATACATCTCCCTGTTTTTCGGACCAACAGGCTCCCAGGGCGCAGGCTTCTCTGCTAATCTCCAGAGCGCTGAGGCCAGCTGAACCAAGAGAACAAATAGGGCATGGCATGCCAGTACACTGTGTCTGTCTACATGACCCTTCACCCACATACTCCCACGCCCGGTCACGTCTTCAGGCTCTTCAGGAAATGGAGATGAAGGATCCAGCCACCGCATCACTGGAATACCCTGAACTGGCCAACCAGGGCAGCTCAGAGCCCACCTGATGGGCAGCACCAGGAGTCCAGACGGGGACCCCTGGCTGGGGAGCTAAGGGCCACAGCAGAGCAGGAAGAAGTCCCCTTCACTTCTGCCCACTGCTTCTCTGAGCCAATCTGCCTCCCTCTGCTCTGTGGTAGCCGCCACCTCTACTTGCAGTGATAAAGAATGACCGCCAGCCATGGAGCCAAGGAGTGACCCTCGGGCATCTTCCTGTACTAGACACTGTAGTGATACACTGTTTATGTTCTAATAAAGCTTGCCTGAAGATCAGAGATTAGGGCAGGCAAACTGTAAATCTTGGTGAAGGGGAAACTTGTCCTTTATTTAGTAAGTAGTCACATGGGAGCCGAGCAGCCCTCGTGGTGCAAAGAGTGGGGGAGGAGAGTGTCTGGGAAAATTAGGGGGTCAAAGTGACTGGGAAAGCACGCTTCAGAAAGAGATGGAGATTGGTGTCCACTGGTGATTTCCTCCCGGTGAAGCAGCCCGATGTTTTTCGGTTGGATCTTAAAGAGAATGAAGCATTGTCAAAAAAAAGGAGCCTTCTAAATCCAGTGTCAAGGAAAACTTAACCAAAGTTACAGAAGCAAAAAATGTAATGAAGAGAAATTTTAAAGTGAACAAGAAAACAATATTTACTGATGAAGGGGAGCTGGTTCAGCAGTGGCCACAGATTCAGAAATCTGCTACCAACGATGTGGAGGAAGAAGACGATTCAACTTAGACAAGGCAAAGGCCTCAGGAGGAGGACGAGCTTGATAAAGAAGAACATAGGAAGGAAATTAAGGCAAAGCATTGGGAAAGACGCTAAAAGAAAAAGAAGCCAGGAGAGAAGCCAACAAAAGGCAAAGGCCAGAGATGAAGAGGAAACCTTTTCTGGACTGGAGTGATGAAGAAGATTAGAGCCTTTGGATACAAGCCTCTCCTTAGCAGAGGGTGAAGAGCTAGTGTTACACCTGCTCAAAAGTCAAAACTAAATATTCTCTGTGCCTTCATGATGGACGTCACTATGTGGGCAAGAAGCTGGAAAGAGCTATGGGCACTTAGGTACTATGTATCCAATTCTCACAGGATGTGTTTTCTAACAGAAATGATCACATCTCTGGTTTCCTTTCACAGACTGAGTTTTGAAATATCAAGGAACATTCTCAAAACATGCACTGTGTACTCTGTTAGAATTTAATAGGCTCCCAATACCCACCATTGGAAATGCTTATTTTGATGTTTTCACTGTGCTGAGGGTTAAACCAAGGCCTTGCACATGGTAGACAAGCGATCTACTACTACGCTGTGTGCCGAGTCCCTGTTTCTCTGTTTTTTTTGTTTGTTTGTTTGTTTTTGTTTTTTCGAGACAGGGTTTCTCTGTGGCTTTGGAGGCTGTCCTGGAACTCGCTCTGTAGACCAGGCTAGCCTCGAACTCACAGAGATCCGCCTGCCTCTGCCTCCCGAGTGCTGGGATTAAAGGCGTGCGCCACCAACGCCGGGCCTGTTTCTCTGTTTTACAAGCAGGTTCTGGATCCCTTGTTCATACCCATCTTTCATACAATGCAGAAATTTTAATGTTATTGCTTAATGGCCAATAATTTATGTATATTTCATTATCTCTAAAGAAACAATATAATGAATCAGCACTGACAAAGAATGAGTATTTTTTAGGCCTTAATCCCAGCACTCGGGAGGCAGAGGCAGGCGAATCTCTGTGAGTTCAAGTGAGTTCGAGGCCAGCCTGGTCTACAGAGTGAGTGCCAGAATAGGCTCCAAAGCTACACAGAGAAACCTGTCTCGAAAAACCAAAAAAAAAAAGTATATTTTAACTGAGCTCATAAAAAATATATATTTCCTATAAAGTAAAACAGAGAGAGAGAGAGAGAGAGAGAGAGAGAGAGAGAAGGAGGAAGAGACGAAGCTGTTGCCTGACCACACCCTGTGTGTACATCTTCATCCAGGGTCACAACACGGTCTCAGGGAGAGGGGCTGTGAGTGGGAGTTGCTTAAGAAGCCCTGATGAAGAACCCCTCTGTCTCCAGGGTCCACGCTGCCAGGCTTAGCCACGTGCCATGAAGTCTACAGCACACTGGCCAGTAGCGCCTGTGTAATACATAAATACAGACAGGCCAGCCACAGACGGATGGAACGTCAGCTACTGCTTAGCCTAGAAGACCTCCCTCCGTGTTGAGGCGGTTGTTGACCTGTATGGGATGTGGAGTCCTTTTGCTTTAGCATTTACCCTCAAAATGGAACAAACTGCTACTTTGTAAAAAATGGAGTCACTCAAGGCAAGGCCGCTTGCTTTACACAAAATGGAGTAACTCGGAGCAGAGCTGTTTGGATCGGATCTCCATTCTAGGAGCAGATTTGTCTACTAATGAGTGACAGCCAAAGCGTGGACACACACACACACACACACACACACACACACACACGCCCCCTCACACCCTTCAAAGATCTCTCTCTTGGGAGGGAAGCCACAGAGGCTCCTTCCATGGGAATAGTGAGGGCTTTGGTGAGGACTGGTGAAAGGCATGCTGGTGCATAGCTTACAGCATAGAATTACCACAGACTGGTCTTGTGTGCATGTGTGCGTGCATGCCTGTGTGTGTGTGTCTGTCTGTCTGTCTTATAGCCTAGTGATCTCCAGATCCAGAGGAGGGGAAATGACCCCCTCTCCTAGTCTTGTGCCTGAAGAGCCATATAGGGAAAAGGGGCCAGCCAAAGAAACGTGCCCTGAGCAGAGCCAAAGAAACACACTTTGGCCCTGCAACTAGAACCAAAGAAATGTACTCTGACCCTGAATCCAGTGCCATAGAAACAGACTTTGTCCCTGGAATCAGAGCCAGGGAAAGAAATACGCCCTGCCCCTAAAACTAGAGCCAAAAGGCTGAAAAGGATCAGGGAAAGAAACACACTTTGGTCCTAAAACCAGAGCCGAATCTGACCCTTAACCTGTGCAGTAAACTAACCAATCCCTGAGCAGATCTAGTCAACCTGAGCTCAGGGATTGAAATCTGACCAATCCCCACCCTGGGAAAACTCTAAAGGGGGGCACCTAAAAATCCTTATATAAACCCTGTGTCTATTCAGCTGTGGTTGTTCAGGCTGCCTGGCTGTCCTCTGCCACTCTCCTGGATTCTTCCCTCCCAACAAATCTCTTGAAAGAGGTTTGGGTGAAGACCTTCTTTAGCTGGAGCAGAGTCAACCCAGAGCAGAGGGGAGCAGGGCTGTAACACTTTTCGCCTAGAGAAGCCTTCCCCTGGCTAAGCGAAGTTGTTACGCTCCACTCTCTGGGGGACTGGAGTGGAACTGTAGGGAAATCCTCTCCTACTGGAGCAGAACTGATACACTTGTGAGGACCTGAGTTAGAGCCCCAGAACCCACTTTAAAAAGTTGGGCATGCGTATTTGTATTCTTACGGTGGAGAGGTTTAAAAAAAAGGTTCCCTGGGTCTCCTAGCCTGTTTAGTGAGTTCCAAGCCAGTGGACTGCACAGTACTTGAGGAATGACATTTGAGGCTGTCCATTTGGCTTGCACAAGCGTAGGCTCAAGAGCGTGCTCGCACACACACACACACACACACACAAACACACACACACACACTAACAAAACCCTAGTAATAAAAAGAGGAGGGAGGGAAGGAAAGAGCCGGCTCTCAGACGATACGATGGAACAAGCTTGTAACCCAGCATTTGCCAAAAGGCAGAGGCAAAAATGAGAAGTTCGAAGCCAATGCACACAATGTAAGTCCTGGCGCGGGTCACACAGTTACAATCCTAGCATTTGGAAAGCGGAAGCAGGAGGATCTCAAGTTGAAAACTGGCTTACGCTCAAGGTCGGTCAGTCTGCATCGAATGAGACCTTGTTTCAATAAAGCAAAAAACAGGAAAACAGCTCCGGGTTTAGCGAGCAAGCTCACTGAGACTAGCTTCCCTTGTGAACGTCTTTCTCCACCAGAAGGCTAGCACCGCTGGGCTGGGTTTCAGAGGCCTCGGCGAGCCCTCCAGCTTCTTCAGGCCTCTGGGAGGATGCTGACGAGGTTGAACCAAAGGCTTTAAACGTTTTAATTTCTGAAAGATTTAAAGCAAAAAGATAAGTCGTAGAGAGTGGAAAAAGCACACAGAATGACCCGAGAGGTAGGCTCTGTGCCCACCCAACCCCTTGGGGAGGCTTGTCTGCCCAGGCGTTTCCACTCCGCTAGGAAGGGCGCCGTGGATGGAACCCGGAAAGTGAATCAGCAGCTGGCAGAACCAGGGCAGAGTCACCACCCTGGGCACGGAGTGCTCGCAGCGGAGCAGACACGGGGCAGGGTGCACCCAGAGTGGCTCAGACACCAGGCAGGAGCATCCTGAGCCGAGCAGGCTCGGGGCGGAGTGCGCCGGGAGTGAAGCAAACATCGGACAGGGCGCACCCAGAGTAGAGCAAACTCAGGGCGGGGTGTACCGGGATCCTAGACTACTCCGGATAGGGTGCTCCCGGAGCGTAACAAACACAGGGCAGGGCGGGGCGGGGCGGGTCGCACCCAGAGCAGAACAGACTGGGGCGGAGAGCATCCTGAACGCAGCGGACACGGGGCGGGGCGCACTGGGAGAGCAACAGCTCGGGGCGTGGTCGGGGCGTGGCCCGGCCGGCGGGAAGGCGGAAGGACTCTTTGGACCGTTCTCACCCACGAGATCCCTCAGCCCCAGGCCCCGCACGCCGGGGACTGCAGCATGGAGGCCGGGCTGCTGTGGTTCTGCAACTGGAGCACGCTGGGGGTGTGCGCCGCACTCAAGCTGCCGCAGATCTACGCGCAGCTGGCGGCGCGCAGCGCTCGGGGCATCAGCCTCCCCAGTTTACTTTTGGAGCTGGCGGGGTAAGGCCCCGGGAAGCCAAGGGTTAATGGGGGGGGGGACTCGGGGCTGGGAGGAGCTTTCCGGGGCGCTGCCCCACACTTCCCTGGCTTCTCCCCTAATCCCGGGAGGTACGAATTGCCTGTGCACGCCCATCTTAAGAGATTCAGCGGACTCATCTCCCACCGTGTCCACAACGGCAGCCTAACGGCCGCGGGCGAAGCCATTTGCACCTGCAGTCCCTTAAAGTTCCTAACCTCACCCGGCACCACCCACATTCTTTTTCCAGCCTAGAGTCCTTTGCCTGTAAAGCAGTGGTTGGGCTGAGATCTGAATTACAAGATTTGATGATTCCCTGTAGGGAGGGGGAGGGACAGGAGGTACTTGGGTCTGAGTTGGGCTGGGGTCCTACACGCAGGATTGGGCAGTACGGGAGCCACGTTCTCGGTGTCATTGGCTAAGTAGTTAAGAGTAAAGTTGTGAAACTTTGGTTGGGAAAAACAAATGGGAGAGATCGCGTCCCTGAGTCGCGCGATCTTGGCACCAGGCAGATCCCTCTAGGTTTGTCACCAGCTGATGGGGTGGGCTTCAACGTGCACCTTTTCAGAGAGGCTCGGTGGGCGGGCGGAAGGGTACCTGGTCCGTTGGCGGCCTAGAACAAGAGTGTATGCATTTCAGAGAGGGTGAGAGACTGGCAGGATGGGTAAAACACAAGACTGAAGAATGCAGAAGTGACGGCCTGGCTGGGGCAGAGGGTGCGGGTGTTGGAAGTCCAGGGAGCTCTTTGGCCTCTGGCTTGCTAAATTCTTTCGCGAGCATGAGGTTAGAAAGTTCATGGATGCCTACAGAGCGCTGCCCTGCCCTGGCCTGCCTGTAGCTCCCTCTTTGCTGCCTGGGGGACCCGGATGGGTCTTGCGGTCTATCGCGGTACAGATAAAGCAGGCTCTTCCTGGAAATCTCAACAGCCTCCCTCCCTTCCCGGCAGTGGGCGGCAGGTATGGCAGGTTTCTCTAAGTAGGTTTGGCAGGTTTAAGACCAGCTTTGAGACCAGAAGGCATGGGTATGCTCCACCATTGAAATCCAATATTTATCCCTACATCGGCCAGCTACAATAGTTCCCAGTTTGGGAGAACTTTCCCAAGCGCCTCCTGGGTCCCTATACACATACCTTTTTTAAGCCTCACCGCAGCTGTAGGTGAGAGTTGTTTTACTCCTGAGGTAGGAACAATAGGAATAGGAGAGCAACCCATCCTGGTCCCACTGGCTACATCCCCCCCCCCCCGCATGGATAGGGTGGTTACTTCAATGCTGTTTCCCTCTGGGCCTTACCTGGTTGCCTGCGTGACCCTCACCAGTCAGATAGGCTCTGAGGCATCAGGAAGACCCTAACTGCACCACCATCAGGCAGCCTGCATCCTCCAGGGACTGGACTCCTGCCTTGGGTTTCAATCTGAGAGCTCAGACTCTAAAATTCTAATTTGAGGGAACTGGATCTTGGCCAGAGGCTATTTTAATGACACCAGATACTGCATGCCTGGTTGATGACTGTTGCACACAGAAACCTTAAAAACTGAAAAGCACACATCATCCCCAGGGCACAGGATGTGTGGGATGTTTGGGTCCCCCTAAAAGCATAGCAGCAGGACTAGGGCAATACCCCAGGGTGAGACCCTCCATCGTACCCTTGAGTTCTCACATGATCCTGTCTTCTTTGGATCTTAGTTTCCCCAAGTGATCTTTATGATGTGGAAGGCAATGTAGGTGACCCCTGAAGGTGTTCAACCAAGTGCTGACACCCAGGGTCTCTTGGACCTGCCAAATGGGTGTCTGACAATTTTCCCAGAGGTCAGTCACAAGTATGGTGAAGACCACATGCTCTAGTGTTGGGTGAATGTGTGGGTAAATCTGGGGTCTGGCGGATCGCAGGGTGGCCTGTGAATATCTACACGTCCTGACTCCAGGTTCCTGGTCTTCTTTCGCTATCAATGTTACTATGGGAACCCGCTGCTCACCTACCTGGAATACCCCATCCTCATTGCACAAGGTAACTGACAACCACCCCCCCACCCACATCCCCAGCCTGCCCTCCTACCGCCCTGCCCATCTCTCAGTCTCTTCTTCCAGACGTCATCCTCCTGCTCTTTGTCTTTCACTTCAACGGGAACGTGAGGCAGGCCTTGCCCTACGCAGCAGTGTATCCTTCCCGAGTCTGAGCTCAGGTGGGGGTGGAGGGTTTCAGTGATGGCGTGCAAGGGGCTCTGGATTCTATCCTTAGCACCAAAGGTGGAGGACTTGGTGTGTTCTCTGCTAATACTATGCATTGTGAAATAAGGTCATCTTTTTATGGCTACCTAAAAAAGAATCATAAAATGCAAGTCTTTTTTTTAAAAAAAAGATGTAGTTATTTATTACATATTCAGTGTTCTGCCTACATACCAGAAGAGGGCACCAGATTGAATAGTAGATGGCTGTGAGCCACCATGTGGTTGCTAGGAACTGAACTCAGTACCCTTGGAAGAGCATGTACACAAACCTGAGGTTAGTACAGTTGCTGCTAGAGGTGTGCCCGCTCACTGCCTCTGAGACCATGTGGGGTACAGATTTGCTATGTCCCTGCTGAACAAGAGAAATGCACAGTCACCCTGTTAAGAGCAACACACTCCACCTGTGCCCTCAGGCACTCTTCCGTCTGTGAGCATGCCCCCAGGGGATTAGTAACACGAGAGTGCCTGGCACCAGGTCCCATGCAGGATGGACCTCACAGGTGCCTGTCGGTAGGCATGGGCCAGATGGGGGCAGTTTTCCGATATTAAGGCACCTACGCAGAACTGTAATTTAGAGGCGGAGCCTTGTCTGGGTGGCTGTGTTGGTTTGGGGGCTTTTTAACCATGTGGAATGGCCAGCCAACAGACCTGCTCCACTCGGTGGCATCTTCTATGCCGAGGGTGAGATTTCATGTCTGCTTTTTTTGTAAGGATTTGGTGTCACTTTTCTTCATGCTCCTTAAAAGGTAGGCCGAGAGTGTTTGCATGGCAATGGCAGTCACTAATCCTGCTGCCTCTATGACAGTGAGAGGCTTGAGGGTTTAGGCAAGTCTTGACTACAAACTGTCTCGGATTGCTATCAGCCCGACTCAGCTCCCCTCTCCACAGAAACAGGGAAAGTATGGCTCCATGCCCCACTTCTGCTCCCCTTTCAAGGGGTTAGGTGTTTGCCATCATCTTCCTGGTTAGCCAAGGATGACCTCAACTATGAATCCTCCAGCCTCCACCTCCCAAATGCTGCGATTACAGGCGTGCACCACTACGCTTTGCATGGAGAATGTTTTGGTGCAGCTGGGTTCCAGTCATGGCTGTGGGCCATCTCTAGTTTAATCCCTTCAGCTACTTAATGTAGCCATTGTTTTCAGCCACCTTTGGGGTTCCTTGGATGGTAGGCAGGGCAGGGAATGAAAGCAGTCACTGAGTCATGAGAGTCCTGCACAGGCCGGATAAAAATTAGTTCCTCTTTGCCTACCATCACCCCAACTGCTGTGCTTTTACAACAGAAAGGGGTGTGGCGTCAGTAAAAAGTTCACACACAGCACACCAGTTTCGCAGGACATCTCTCCTTTGCACGGTTGAACCTTCTAAGTGCTTCATTTTGATGACACAGCATGCAGCTACAGCCCTATGAATATTCCCAGCCTTAGGTTACAGTCTGCGAACATGGATCTGTGCGCTTCCTTCCACAATCTGCTTCCGTTGTTTCAACTCCAAGCAGATGTTCACATGCAACCCCTGGCATCTTTTCCAAACAGACACTGTCCGGCAGAACAGTTACCCCACACACACCTCAGCTTCTGTGTCACCCTCTGTGATCTGGCTTGGTACGCAGAGAACAAGGAGGGAGGGGTGGGTTCAGCTGCCAGTGACTCGCTGCTAGGTCCCTTAGCACTTGACCAGATTTGTGTCTTCTTGGTTCGTCCTCAGCCTGCAGAAGTGGATCATCGACCTGGCCATGGTGAGTGGTGCCCCTACCGGAGGGAGACTGGAAAAGCAGATACCTTCTTTTCTGCCCCTCCAGCGTCCTAGAGCGGTGCTTCTCAACCCTCCTAAGGCTGTGACCCTTTAACACAGTTCCTCATGTTGTGGTGACCCCCAGCCATATAATTATTTTCATTGCTACTCTGTAACCATCATTTTGCTACTATTATGAATTGTAATATAAACATCTGTGTTTTCTGGTGGTGGAGGCAACCAGAAAGGGTCATTAGCCCCAAAGGGGTAGAAACCCACAGGTTGAGAAGGACTCCTTTTCAGCTGAAGCAGATGAAAAGACAATGTCAGCCAAATATTAAGACATTATTCTTGAAATGTTCAAGGGGCTCAAGGGGAACACTAAGATGGACTCCCCCCTTTTATTTGTGCATGGATGTCTGCACGCAGAGATTTGTAAGTCATCTCCTTCCATCTTGTGGGTTTCAGGGATTGAATTTAGGTCATCAGGCCCTTCAGCAATCTCCCTCACCCATGGTGCCATCTTGCCAACCCCGTCAGTTTTAAAAGACAGTTTTCCCATCTTCCTCCCATCTATGACTCCTTTAGGCCCCCTACCAGCGCTTACTGCACACCTGCTCTCCGGGAGACTTGGGGACTGGCATTTCTCATGCCCCCCGTGCAGTTCATTCATTCCTCAGCTTGTCAGTCCTCTGCCTGCACTGGACCGTTTTGTGGGATAACATGAGGTTCCCTCCTTGAGTGTGTGTTGACACTACCAGGGTTCTCTATGGCCTGCTCCCAGACTACCCCTTGATCTCAAAGTTGGCTTTTTGTTGGAAAGTAAACACGCCAGCAGCTTGCCCATTTGGGCTATGCTGTAACCACTTTTGTTGCCCTCCCCTTTTTGGCTCCTCCCCACCACACTAAGCTGGCCCTGCCCCCTCCCTTTCTTTGCCTTATCCAGCACCCCACAGGCTTCTTTGCTTGGGTCCAGCCTCCCTGCAGGCCACCTGTGCCCAGCTCCCACATTAGCCTGGCAATGTCGTTGCTCCCTCCTCTGCCCAGACACACCCCAACACTCCATGCGCCACGATTCTTCCCTGTGCAGCCCCATCTCTCACCCACCAGGACTTCTGGAGGCCAGCCAGGTGCTCACAGCATACAGGTTGCCCCAGCAGGAAGCAGAGCCTACCAAGGGCCTGTGACTGTCACTCATTCGAAAGACAGCAGTCAGTCCCCATGCCACTCACTCATCTCTCAAGTCTCACTACAGATCAGGGTCTGTGTCCTATTCACTGGGTCCTGTTGCCTGGCTTTCAAACGCAGCACGCTCTGGGGTCCTTCCCACCTCATCTCCCTGACTTCTTGAATGCTGCTCATGCCATCAGACTCAGCCCAGGTGACTGCAGGGGTCTCCCTCTGGTCTGAGCTTAGCAGCAGCTGTGCAGATGGAGCCCCAGCGGGTTGATAGTCAATGTGCAAGGTTTCTTGGCTGAGAGCTAACAGAGGACACAATGAGGAATAGTTTGGAAGTTTGGCCTTAAAAGCACTGTATCTGGGCTGATGCGATGACTCGGGGGTTAAAGGTCCTTGCTGTCAAGCCAGATGACCTGAGTTCAATCGCCAGAACCACATAGTGCAAGGAGAACTAGCTTCTCCAAGTTGTGCCCCCTCTCCAGAGAGAGAGAGGGAGGGAGGGAGGGAGGGAGGGAGGGAGGGAGGGAGGGAGGGAGGGAGGGAGGGAGGGAGGGAGGGAGGGAGGGAGAGAGAGAGAGAGAGAGAGAGAGAGAGAGAGAGAGAGAGAGAGTGTATGCGTGTGTATGCACTATGCCCAGTCCTATATCTTTTTAGGCTCCTGACTCTCATTTTTTTCCACAACAGAACTTAAGCACAGTCATCAGTGTGGCCAGTAAGTTTGCCCAGCTTCAGTATCTGTGGAAGGTCCAGGACTCGGAAGCTGTGAGCGCGCTGACCTGGGGCCTCTCTGCCTACACCTGTGCAAGTAAGGCCGCCACTCTCCAGGGACTGGCTTTCATCAGCACCCGGGGCTTCCTGGTGTTGAGTGTATGCAGGTCTTTTGCATACACTTTTGTAATTAGCTACTTAACAGAACCTGCTAAGGAAAGGGTATCCCTGTACACAAGCCATCATGCAGACTGTACTGTTCACTACCAAGAGGTGCTCACTGAGAAAGGAGCTAAACAAGAGAACTCGGGTTAGACAGAAGAGTTTGTCTTCTCCAAGCCATAGTTTTCTTACCTGTGAAAAATGGGATTGAGTTCAGTGCTTAAAGAATTTTTGCCAAGTGTGGCAGTAAACGCCTTTAATCCCAGCACTCAGTAGGCAGAGGTAGGTGGGTTTCTTCGAGTTCAAGGTGTGCCGGTGATATACAGTGAGACCCTGTCCCAAAAATATATAATTTTGCCGGGCGGTGGTGGCGCACGCCTTTAATCCCAGCACTCGGGAGGCAGAGGCAGGCGGATCTCTGTGAGTTCGAGGCTGGGCTGGACTGATAGCCTCCAAAGCAATACAGAGAAACCCTGTCTCGAAAAGCCAAATATATATAATTTTATTTATTTTTTTTAAGATTCATTTATTTACTATGTCTACAGTGTTCTGTCTGCATGTGTGCCTTCAGGCCAGAAGAGGGCGCCAGATCTCTTAGGAATGGTTGTGAGCTACCATGTGGTTGCTGGGAACTGAACTCAGGACCTCTGGAAGAACAGCCAGTGCTCCTAACCGCTGAGCCATCTCTCCAGCCCCAAAATATATAATTTTAAAACCATTATTTTTGCTTAGTTTTATGTAGAGGGATGTGTACCACATGCATACCTGGTGCCCTCAGAGGCCAGAAGAGAGGGTCAGATTCTCTGAGACTGGGGTTATGTGCTCCCACATGGGTGCTGGGAAGCGATCCCAGGTCCTCTGGAAGAGCAGCTAGTGCTCTTTCCTGACCACTGAGCCATCTCTCCAGCTCCCCCCACACCCAGCACACACACTTTTTAACTAGTGGGAGACTTCAATTAAATTCCTGTAAGCTCAATATAGAAGTGAGACTTAAGATTGTTTTGTTGGGTTTTGAGCACAGGGATGGATGGAGCCCTCCCCGGCAGCGCTGAGATAGTGTTAAAAATCGCTTGCTTTTCCGAGCGGCTTCTTCGTGACTGGGCCAGGGTCAGGGTGTGTGGCTGTTCATAGACGGTCGCACAATACAGTATTAACAAGGGTCCCATATAAAGATCATTCGAGAAGTCAGCATTCTGACTATACTATAGTGAAATGGAAAGGTGTGAGCTAAATAGAAATACTAAAGTATGTGAGAAGCAAGTTATTTATTGCTATGAATTTTCCTTTACAGCAAGAATAATAACAACTTTAATGACCACCAATGATTTGACAAGTAAGCAAAAACTTTTGACTTCATGTTTGCGTTTTTTGTTTGTTTTCTGACTTGGGTCTAACATGGAGCCCATCACAAGGCTTAACCGATCCATTTAGTTCAATTGGGCTATGGATTCAGAGGACAAAACAACGTACATTTAGTTTTCAACAGTGATTGTCTCTAGTAAGCATCCACTCCTTGCAGTCTGTGGGGAGAAATACACCCAAGGGAGTCAATTCTCTCATCCTGGAGTTTCTACTTCAACAAGGAAATTGGACAGGGGTCCCACAATTAACTGCTGAGGTATGCCATGAAATAGGGTTTTCAGAGTAGGGTGGCTGGGTGTGGTGACACACACCTATACTTGAGCAGCTGAGGCAAACAGTCTCCAAATCACAACAGAGAGGCAAGCAGGGTCGGTAGCTGGGGAACCCTGCCTACTCTGTGAGTGGAGAGCAATCTGCAGAGTGAGGACTTCAAGGCTCAATAAAGATCTGATCAGAGGAGCAAAGAAGGCGCCGGGGCTGGTCACAGAGTGCAGGGCATTGGAGGCCGGGGCTGGGAGAGAGGGAAGCGAGACTGGCAGGGGCAGAGAAGCCTGACATGTAGACAAGCCTGTGAGCAGTAAGACACCCCAGCTGTGTTTTCAAGCAGTGGCTCATGTAGCACCATTTGCTACGTGCTCGTACAGGAAGAGGGGTGTGTGTGTGTGTGTTATGTGCACTCGAGAATTCACCTCTTCCGATGTTTTCAACTTCCAACCCAGCATCTTTGGAAAGTGACAAAACAGCTCTGATTTAGTGACAGGATGGAAAAAGGAGCCAGACCTAGCTCTCCTCTGTGGGACATGAGTTCACAGGAGGGACAGGAATGAAATTAAACAGCCAAGAGTCTACATATAAAAAGCCTGCACTTAAAAGATCAAGATTCCTACTACAGTCTGTTTCTTTTCTGTCACCACTGTTCTGAGTGACTAGCTTTTAAAAACAGTGTAGCCAGCCAGGTGTGGTGGTGCACGCCTTTAATCCCAGCACTTGGGAGGCAGAGGCAGGCGGATCTCTGTGAGTTTGAGGCCAGCCTGGTCTACAAAGCTAGTTTCAGGACAGTCAGGACTGTTTACACAGAGAAACCCTGTGTGTAAACAAACAAAACAAACACAGAAACAAAAAGGTTCCAGGTCAGGGCTACTTAAGGAGAACCTGTCCAAAATAAAAAAGTGTGGCTAGATGCTACTATGTGTTTTATCATTCCAAGGACATCTCAGAAGTCAGGTGGGGCTGTAGTTCATTTGCAGGGTGGTTTACCATGAATGTGGAGATCCCTGGCTTCAATCTTCAACACTTCCTAAAACTGTAATCCCAGCACTTGGGAGGCAGAAGCAGGAGAATCAGGAATTTAAAGTCAGCCTCAGTGAACCTGTCATAACACACACATAAGCCTTCATTTCATGTCTTAGAAGGGCAAGTTAGGCCACTGTTCTCCTGGTCTACCAGACACATTTTTTTTGTGGTCACTTCATTATACAACATGTACCAACACAGGGCTGATTTCTCAGAAATACTTTCATGTGATGTGGAGTTTTTGCTGTGCCGCCCAGGCTGGCGTCTCCCTTCAGCCTCAAGCAGTCCTTTTGCCTCAGCTTCCCTTATGGGCCCACCACACTTTACTAGAATGCTCTTCGTAGAATGCAGCAGCATTCTGAGACACCCCACGTCCTTAAGACATACATAAAAGGGTCTTAGTTGCACATCTTAGCCAGAGCCTCAGCAGTTCAAGGAAGCACCCAGGATGCATGGCCAAGCGCCTAGGTGGGCATTTCTACAGCAAGTCCTTTCCCAGGGAATGTCTGAAGCCAATGCTGGGAGTCTCACGATCTTGTCGTTTTGCTTGGGGCTGGGGTGAAACCTTACGTAGGCTTCTACTGAGAGCAGTATAATGTCCGTTTTTTTTTTTTTTTTTTTAATGTTGGAACTTTCTTTTTATTTATTTCAGTTCTTGCCCGTTTTGTGATCATGCTGGCTTTAAACATATGGGTAACAGCAACAGTACTGCGCTATCGGAAGCCTGTCACCAAAGTCGAATGATGGCCGCATTCTTTCTACACAGTGGACTTCAAATAACTGAACCAGGGATGCACTGTTGCTTTCCACTGCTACATTTAAAGTCTTTTACTAGTCAATCCTTTCAGAAACTTTAAATCAGGTTTGTTAGAGCTGAAAAGCCTCTTAGCTGGATATGGCGGTGCAAACCTACAATCCTAGCACTTGGGAGTTTGAGTTAGCCTGGGCTACACGGCAGACTCGGAGAAGGAAAGAGCCACTTGTTTAAAAATGCCCACTTCCATAGGTTGTGGTATGGCTTAGACATTGGGGTTGTTTGTGTGGGTGTGCGTGCGTGCGTTTCAGATAAGGCCTCACTACATAGCCCAAGCTATCCTTAAACTTGTGATCCTCCTTCCAAAGCCTCTGAGCACTGGGAGTGCTGGACAACAGAGGATACCACCATACCTGGCTTGTTACCTGCCATGATGGAAGCTGCCCAAGAAACCATTTTAGCCCTTAAAGTAAGGACTAAGTTCTCTCTGGAGAGCCAGCTATAATTATATGCTTTCAGAATCTTCAATAGTCTTCCCAAAAGGAGTGCGGTCTGCTCAGTCATGCCTGGGCAGTTTAACCCTTCCATGACCAAGGGCTTGGCCTGGCACGTCACAATACAGAGTGACATATCTACTCAAGACAAGTAAGGCTATCACAGTGCACACAGATGTTGCTGCGTCTATGACTAAGTATGCTCCAACACTTCACAGTGTGCCTTAACACCGTTCCTAACAGATCCCTGATCTCTACTTAGAGGAAAAAATCCTAACAGCCTTCCTGATTTGAGCACAATGCAGCCTTTTTATAAAAGGGGGCTGTACCTCATAGTTACACTGCTGGAACTTAGTATAGGTGTTAGCTACTGGAACGTATTCAGTAAAGAGTATTGACAGGCCCTACCCATTCTTGGGGATTTTATTCTTACTAAAGTAACATATCTTAAGCATTGTTCACAATGCTTCTGCTGATGTTTCATAAACCTAACATTTAAAAGTGCACTTTCTTCTATATGCATGTCATTATTCAGGCATATTGTAAGTAAATGATGTACTGGAAAATGTTCAGTTTCCTACATAAAATAAACTTTCATTTGCTGAATTCCACTGAATCTTAACTGTCATGAATTTCTAGTTATGTAGGTACAGCTCTTTAGCAAGCTAGCTGATCTTGCCCTGGACCCAGATTAGAGAAATGCTACATCTGAACAAACAGTTCTATGGTTATTTCAACCAGTGTCAGAAAACAAAACCCAAGCTCATCTTTCCTCACATACACTGACCATCAGACCATTAGTTTAATATAAATTATGACCTTCACCCCAAGTGTCTTAGATATATTCACTCAGGACTTTTACTTTGCCACTGCGGACAGCACTTCTTTTAAATAAAGACGTCCTCTTGTGTAAGCCAAGCTGGCCTCACTCATCTCTGTGCCTCCACCTCTTCAGCCAAGTCTACCAGCATGCATCACCACATGCATTACCACCGGAGGGAACGTCTGGGCTGCTGCAGCAATCTCGCATGCACTACCGCATTTCAAAATAACAGTCCCCGAAAGGCAGACACTTTCCACTTCACAGATGAATGCATTCAGAGAATACCCAACCCAAGACCAGATGGCCACTGATTACCAGGAAAGCACCTTCTCAGAGATGCCCACCACATATTTTCAGACAGAAAAGCATCCTGTGTCCTCTACCCTCCCACCTGGAACCAGATATGTATAAGTCTGCAAGCCCAGAGTGACTCAGAGGTAGACTCCAAAACTTCAGGCAGAAAGGAGGGTTTCTCTATGATGACGTCACCCCACCTTCTATCCATACCCTTCAGGGACAGGTTAAGAAGCTGCAGCACTGCACACTACTTTCACAGAAAAAGATGCGTATATTTTAGGTTCTTTTTATTTATTTTTCTTAAACAAAAAGCAGGCATAAAAATACAATACATTACTACAAAGATGCAACAAAATAAAAAATAAATCAAGAGGGTACGATTTTTTTTTAATGTTCAGGGGGACAGGTGATCCAGGATGACTCTTTAAATCATGCCATTTATAACTTATTACAGTTCCAAACAAAAGTCACCACAGGGAAGGGAGCAGGGCGAGGCCACAGGGCACACTCAGCACTGTCACACAGTGCCTGTCAAAGTGCTTTAAGTTGGCGGGGCACCTCCACGAGCCAGGGGAGCTGAAGCCACCTTCAGGCAGGCAAGGAGAGTCAGTAGCAGTCAGAGGGCCTGAGAGCCATCTCGGAAGCTTTGTTCTATGTGGGGTTCAGCCGCCCAGAGCATCCCTATGAGGTTGGTTAGTGTCTGAGTTTCTCCACGGCACCCTGGGAATCCTGAGCAGCAGCAGCATAAACCAAACCTCAAGCACTTCTCACTACATCTACACATGATGGTGCAAAGCCTCTGCTGGGCCTACGGCCTCTCGAAGGCCAGCCAGAAACACCAGCCTTTCCTTGGATTACTAGCTCACTGTCCTTTAGCTAGCTGGGGCATTTGAAACTTTTCAACCGCACTTAAAAAAAAAAATCTTGCTTTTCTAAAAGCAACACATAAAAATTCATTGTTCATCAGTAAGACCGGAACTTAGTTCTTCTTTTACTTCTGTCTTTATTTCTACAAAGCAAAAGTATCCAACTAAGGAAACCCAGCATCCCCTTTTTTTTAGGACCCAACTGGAGGTATGTAAGGCTCTGGGACAAACTGAATAAAGGAAGTAACATTTGCTCTGGAAATCTTTACCTTGAAGATTTGGGGATCTCAAGAAAAAGTGAAACTGGCACAAAATTAGGTCGCTGCTGTAATGACTGTTGGGTTGGGTACAAAAATGACAGGCATGTGCACCTACGTACATGCAAATGATAACGGGAAAAGCAAATACTTCCCTAAGGTCACAGTTTGTTTGTATGTGTGTGTTTTTTACTCGAAATCCTGTTAGTTGGACAAATGACCTATGTTAAACCGTATGTGAAGAAGCTCCGTGGAGAGATTTTTTTTCCACCCCTCAGAATGTTTTATTCCCCTGAATCCTTCACATTAAGTGTCACACACAGTTGCTGAATCACACCATGATTCTCCAAATTCTATTACATATATACACGTACAGCATCCAAATTTAAACTTTTGCCTTTTTTACTCAAATACTTCAATTATTCATGTGTAAACTTGACATTTCTCCTTAATAAAGTTTATTAAAAATATATATATATATACTCTCCAATTCAGAATAGGATAGAACCTTCCATAGTGTAACAAAATCTTTATATAAAATATTAATTCAGTTTCCTTTTAAACAACTCTAATGAATGGAAATAGTTCTTCTATATAAATTTATATATTTTCATTTTTAAATCTGGGAGGGAGGGAGGGAGGGAGGGAGGGAGGGAGGGAGGGAGGGAGGGAGGACGGAAGGAAGGAAGGAAGGAAGGAAGGAAGGAAGGAAGGAAGGAAGGAAGGAGGAAGCTGTGTTCTGAACTAGAGCTACAGAACCCAGCTGCTTCCAGGGAAATGGCATGCACATCTAATCTTAACAGATGGAATGAAAGATGCAATTGGGCCATCTGAAGGTCACAGAATTGGGATTTAGTATACCAGTAGACCAAAGGCCACTATTTCCACAATAGAATCTATAAAGAGAATTAAACTTTTTACAACATCTCTACACTGACCCCGGAGGGAAGCAATGACAAATGTTCAATACCATATTGAACTTTGCGTATGTACAGAGCCTGATGCTGCCACTGCTGCGCTCTGCAGCACTACAGGATAGGTCCCGCCTGTTCTCTAACCTCATTAGCATCAAGCAATGAGAATTAAAGCAAGCGCTTTTGAGGCTACCTCTTCCCAGATATCAACACATATACCGCCACCCAACTGTTTCAGGATCACATTTAAATATTAAAATATATCTACAGTACACGTTAAGTATTTTTTTATATTTGAATCTTGAATGAAAATGTGAAAAATTGCCTTTATCATAAATAAAAACACATCTAGGGTAACCAGCAAGTTCAAAGGAAATATTTTGTAGTCACAGATGAGCTGAAGTCTGTAGAAAGGGATGAAGAAACAACAGCTGTACATCACACACATTAGTTTCAATAGATCTGCTATTATTTCTATGACCAAATACATTAAAAACTGTCACAGACCAAACAGACTGACACTGAACAACTACTGCATGTATAAGAGTGCACTGTTTTCCCCACGAAGCGAGCTGCATCCTAAGAGCTGGTAAACACTTGTCCTTTCTTTTCTTAAATATAGAAAAGGGTTGAGATGGGGGGGGATTAAATTAAGGCATTCAAAATATGGAAAGTTGCCTACAACAAGCATTGGGAAACTGGAATAATTAACTTCAAACTTCCTGTTGCAATTACTGTTTACACAGACATGCATCTCCTATCAGGTATATGAATGAAGGATATAAATTCCAACATTATGGCTTTATACAGGTGCATAGTTGCAACTGAAGTAATGATATCTGATTAATGTGTATAAAAAATAAAATGGTAAGTTAAAAATACTTTCTTGCAGTATTACAGTACAATGTGGTTTTTTATGTGTGCTGTGTGTGTATATATATGAGGCTCAACTCATATGTACATACATACATACATGAATACAACATCATGGTCACTTCTTAAAGATGCAGTCAGCATCACTATAGTGAGATCCACTTCCAAATTCTTCTGGCCAATGTACAGATGAAAACCCTCTGTTGAAGTCAAAGTGTGATCTCTCTGAACTCTTCTCAGTCCTTCTGTGCAATGTGACGGGACTGTCAAGAGCTCCAGGAAGCAAGTCTTGAAGAGTTGCACGACACCTTTACTTACCAATCACTGTTGTTCAACTTGTTCCAAAGTAGCCCAGAAAACCTCTCCATGATTTAAAATTATTTCAGGGGAAAGGAAACATGTGTATGTGGGTGTGTCAGTCTCTCAGTAGAATACAGCTTTTTAGTTAAGTTTTGAGATACTGTATTTCAGTCTTGCAGCTGGAAGAATTCAATCACCTGAATAACTGCTTTCATAGAAGGCAGTTAGCTAGAAAGGAAGGAAAATAATGTTAGCTGATAAAGTCAAGTAAGAGACTGTTAAATTCCCTAAAAAGGCATTTTACTTTTATCATTAAAATACTATTTCCTCTGTATTTTTAACACTCAATTCATGCATTAACGTACTCAATTGTATTACTTTTCTTAATTTAAGGTACATGCAATGACATTCTTTCTAAATACAACAATAAGTCCCATACTGGCCATAAACATTTAATGCAGTTAATCAACTATATTAGGGTTAAATGATGCACTACAGCAATGGGTCTCAAACTGTGGGTCATGACCCTTTGGCAAGCTTCTATCTCTAAAATTATTTACATTACGATTCATAACGGTAACAAGACTACAGTTATGAAGTAGCTATGAAAATAATGTATGGTTGGGGGACAGCACAGCATGAGGAACTATAAAGGGCTGCAGCCTTAGGAAGGTGGAGAACCCCTGTACTACAGGTTTCAGCCCTGAACTACTAGCTGCCCTATGTAGCCAAAAAAGCAGAATTTATGGTCAGGCTTTACACAGCTACAGGGCCTCAAGCCACATTTTTTTATATCTATAAAATAGGAATAAAAATGCTAGACTCTAGCCACTTAAAAAGTATAGTTCAAGGGTAAAACACCTGTCTAGCAAGCCTAAGGCCCTGGGCTCCAGCCTCCCCTACCATAAAACAAAGACACTAAAAGGGGAATAAACACATAATATACATATGTAGACAGTCTCAAGCCTGTATATCAAGGTCACAGTATCACATGATGTTAAGTACATGCCCGCACGACATGCTCCATTGAGACAGACTACTTATTAACAGTCTATTCTACATGAAGGTTTACAATCATGAAGCTTAACTTTCATTCAATTTGGCTATTAAGCAAATCATTCTACACTCTTCTTTTCTGTCCTCTGAGGCAGGGTTTCATTAGCCAGCTTGCACTGGTATGGACCTCACAAGCCTTGTCTCAACCTGTTGAGTGGGAACTGCCACCTAACATGCTTCAGTGACAGGGTCTCGTGTAGCCTAGACTTGCCTCAAATTCACTATGAGGCTGAAAGCTGACCTTGACCTCTCCATTTCTCTGCCGCCATCTCCCAAATGCTGGGATTACAAGTGTGCCATAATGCCTGGCTTTACATTTCTTAAAAGCACAGAATTGTTCACAGCATGTCTTGCAAATATTTCACTGCACCACAAAGACAAATCACAAAGAAAGTTCACAGAACTTATGAGACTTATAAAGTTTTTATGGCTTTAATTCTTGCAAGTTAGAAAGGAAGGAGAAAGAAGGAAAAAAAAAAAACCCTACAAATCCATGCTATGTTCACAAACTAGTATGAGACTGAAAACACTTAAGTTTTTAGTTCTCTGTATATAGTTTCTCTGGAATGAATCAAAGGCACCAGAGCTTTTTCCTTTTCTTATTTCTATATGCTTAATTTCTTTTTTTTGGGGGGGGGGAGAGACAGGGTTTCTCTGTATTGTTTTGGAGGCAGTCCTGGAACTCGCTCTGTAGACCAGGCTGGCCTCTAACTCACAGAGATCCGCCTGCTTCTGCCTCCCGAGGGCACCACCAATGCCCGGCCATGCTTAATTTCTAAGATAAAATATTTTAATTTTAACATTACTGAAAATTTATAGCAATAAAGAATTTGAACATAGCATTTGCCACGGAAATTCTAGTTAGAAATATTTCTGAACTACTCTTTAAACATATCCTACTGAAAACATTTTATAATGTCAAAACCAGTTCAAAAAAAGAGAAAAGTCCAAGTGCAAACCACATGCACTACATGGAAATGCTAAAAATTCAGTCATTTTCTGATTTACCCATTTATTTCTTCAGAAATCAAAAACATCGTCATCATCATCACCATCAACATCATCAAATGACCAATCCCAGTCTTTAAATGGCAAATCAAGCAATCTGTAACAGGAGGTTGGCAAGTTTATATGCTCTATTCTTTATAGACTGTAGGAATGTAGAGACTACTATGCTAGAACGTGCTGAGTGCTTAAGTTTCCTTTCTGTGGCACAAGCCTTTAATCCCAGCAGAGGCAGAGGCAAGCAGATCTCTGTGAGCTCGAGGCCAAGGCAAGGCCAGCCTGGTCTCCAGTGTGAGTTCCAAGACAGTCATGCTACACAGGGAACCCGTGTCTTGAGCGGGGAGGGGGTGGGGTGGGGTGGGGACTGGTGAGAGCAGGGTTTCCCTTCAGGAGCCCATGGCAGCACTCAGGAAAGCTTCTCCACTGGTGTGTGCAGGTGTGGTCATGTCAACTGGGCACAATGCAGAAGGGCTCTCTGAAAAACCCAAGACCACCTGTGCCAAGAACATAATTTACTCTTCACACGCACCCCTACTGTCCAGATAATGATGTAGCTACCCTGACTTTCAGTTTGAGAAGTATAAAAGGAACTACATTATCAGCTGACAATTGTTTTTTGTTGTTTTAACAACACCGTAAAAGATAAACTTTGAAAGTGAGCAACAGGAGTGGTCAACAACAGCTAAATTCTAATCCGGAAACTAAATAGGACAAGAGAACGCAAGGAAGAGGCACTGTCAATTTAACCTGGCTAAATGAACTGAACACACAACTGGAGGACGAATCCGTTTTACATTAAAAATCTCAATATACTAGTCTCTTCAGATTGCATAAACCTTTTCTAAAATTACACTCACTTATGTATTGTGTGCACACATGCCATAGAAGTTGCCTGAAGGTCAGAATGTCCGAGAGATTGTGCCTTTAGCCACTGAGCTATCTCACCACCCGATCCGTTCTCTCCTATGCTGTGACACTGCAGTCACCTTTAGATGGGGAGGGAAATCTTTCATTATTATTCACAACTCATGGATTTCTGGTCCCCAAGGTTACACCTGTGAATACCATGTCAGTAGTTATAACCTTTAGTGTACGATTTACCTAGTAAAGTTCTGTTAGACCTCACTCTAGGATCTGGATATGACTGGCAGAAGTAGGAAGGTCCATTACTTGTATGTTTAAATAACCTGAATCATTTTTATTTTGTTTTCCAGACAAAGCCTTATGTAGCCTAGACTGGCCTCAAAGTTACTGTGTAGACCAGGCTTGGCCTTGAACTCCTGATCCTCCTGCCTCTGCCTCTCAACTCCTAGGATTACAGACATGCACTACCATACCCAGGTTTTTCTTGATACCCATGCTTACACAAGTGCTCTTGCCCACTGAGTCATTTCCCTAGTCCCCCAGTGTTGCAAACTTATGTTTAAAACTACATATAGACACTTGGTTATTAGTACAAATATATTAAGACTTCCCTTAAAACGTCTCCTTCATTCTCTTCCACTCAGTCATCTAATTCAGTTTGTTCTTCTCCACATTTTTTCACTGTCAGTACTTGGTTTCCATGTTGGTAAGTCATTGAGAAACTTATATCAAAACAATTAAGTCAAAGTTCCTTACAAAATCTACCTGTCCTTTCTGGTTGGAGTCAGGCTTTCTCTCAGGCATCACATTACCGTTGTCTACTGGCTGTCTCCTCCCTGCCCTGCCCCGGTCTCAGCACAACAGAACATTACACATACAGAGTACAGCTTTAACTTTAATCAAACTCAGTAAGGTTGAGTCTTTCTCTCTCTCTCTAAAGACAGGGTCTCACTATGTAGCCTTTGAACTCAAGAAATCTGCCTGCCTCTGCCTCCCAAGTGCTGGGATTAAAGATTTGTGCCAAGATAAAAACTGACCGAGATAACACTAAAAGTACACTTCCAAATCCATCTTTAAGTCGTCAATTTCTGCTTTCATCATTGTCAAACAGTGGAATTGACAGCTAAGAGTGCAAACTTTGAAACTAGACTATTTGGACCTGAAACACCTGGTCCTTGGGCACATAATCTTTCTGTGCATTTAGGAGTAGAAACAGGCAGAGCTCTGTCTGGATATGACCCCTAGATCTATTTGTTAAAAACAGATCCCCAGGTGGCAGTGTTGAGGAGCAGACTCTTAGGAGGTAATTTCAGTCATTTCAGAGGTGAGTTGAGTTCCTTGGCAGTAGTTCTGTTATACAATCAATCTTTGTTGGGCAAGCCTGCTGTGCACACGAAGCCCTCTGTCAAGTCACGGTGCAAGAAGCCTTCTCTCTGGATGCTAGTGCCATGTTGTTTAGAAGCTCATCAACTAAATAAACTTATACCTTTTAGTTTACCCAGTCGGAGGTACTGCGTATGAGCCACAGAAGACAGAGATAAAGTATTGAAAAAGCATTTTTGCATTAACAGTTGTACAATATTGGTAACAGAAACTTAATTTTCAGACATTATACAAAAGGAACACACTAAATGGCCTTTAGTATTTGTCTCTCAATTCTTTTAAGATTTTAAAAGAGTCATCTTGTTTTTAATTATGTATATATGTGTCTCTGTGTACCTATGAACATGAGTGCCGTTTTGCATGTCCAGAAGGGAATGTTGGATACCCTGAGCCTGGGGTTACATGCAGTTGTGGGCCACCTGAAGCCAGTGCTAGCAACTATCTCATCTTCTCAAGAGCAGTGGTAGTAGCTGGCTGTAACTGCTGAGTAACCTCACTATCCTTCTTTAGAGATGGATCTGGTCTTTGTGACCTACCCGCACCCCTTTGTATACATATAAATATTCCTATATCCAACCTGCTCAGTATGTACCTTATCATGTAGTCACTATTTTACATTAATTTTATTATATTTCTTTTGTTTTGAGACATGATCCTGGCTGTCCTGGAACTTGCTCTGTAGACCAGGCTGGCCTCAAACTCAAAGATCTACCTGCTTCTGTCTTCCAAAAGCTGGGATTCAAGGTATGCATCACCATGCCCAGCTAATTTTATTTTGCACACTTAAAATACCCAACCATTTTGCTACCAAAACACCAATTCTACCTTTGCCATTCTAAATGATTTCCTTGAGATATTACTTCCAGAAAGCTTCATGAGAAATTTATTGCATCACTCACATACTGAAGGTCCTGTGTTAGGCAACAAAAAACAGCTGAAATCAACTCTCTGACCTAGGTCAACACTTTGTCCATCAGCTAACCAAGCTTTCACATTTAATGAGGACCGATATTTATAAATGTCTAATACCTAAATAAGCCAAGAAATGGCTCTTCTGGATCCAAATATATAATAAAATGAAGTCAGTGAAGTTGTAGTAAATGGCTTCAGCATTTCTATACATCAAGACCACCCGACACTTCAGTTCCAAGCATTGCCCAGGTCAGTCAGCATGTGCACAAGCTGAACTGTATTGCTCTTTAAATCAGAAACATTGCTTTGCATTTATCTGTATAAATAAAATCTGGAGCTGCTTTCAATTCTGCTTCTCAGATCACCTAACTAAAGGAAGTTTGCAATATATGTGTGTAGCTGACATGAACATTTGTGTAATTTTAATGTCATTTTCCACTAATTAGTCCATGTGCTTATTAAAGATGAAAATAGTATGATTATGTACAAAAGTAATAAAATACCACTTTTAATTTTTGGTTGAATATGTATAACTTCTAAGCTATATTTTTAGCCAGAGAATAAGATACATATACTCCAACTTTAAAATATTTGGTTTCCAATGACACATTTAAATACCAAGCAAAGGAAAGTCATAATTATCCAAGATTTTAGTCTGAACATAAAAAGCAATTTTTAAGAAAGCAGCTTCAATTTTTACCCTATTTTATTTATTACCTTGGCTTGTTTGGAGCAAGCTGTCGACTGGGTCGCCGGATGGACTGATTCTGTTGTATTTTCATTGAGGCCCTAGGAGATGATCGAGCAAAAGGGTCTGGAGCTGGAGGCTTCTTCGGTATCTTTTTCACCAACCTGCTAACCCATTTCTGCTGTTCTTCTGTTGAATTTGCTAATAATAATAGATTCTTTGCCGTTGATATATCATAATAAACTACAAACAGAATGATTTGAAATGAGTTAATTAATGTACTTAAACCGACCCAAGCCCAAGCAACAGCTTAGCAAGCACTTCATTACTCACCTTTGCAGGGTGCTATGATCTCTTCCTTCTTGTCCATGTGATCTTTATGACATTTAATGTGGCACCGACGACATTCCAGAGCAGGAGGGGGCTTAAACATGTGCCACAATGGCTTCATACAGGCCTCACAGTTAGTTGGGAAGTGATAAAGAGTAGGGATAAACTCATGTCCTTTGTGGCAAATATAATTAGATTTTTCTCCCACTGGCTCTACTGGAAATTCTGGTTCCTTCTTACTTTCTCCTTCATTGGCATATAGAATCTATAAACACCAAGAGGAGAGGAGTGACTGCTATATACTTTTTAAAGATGTGTTTATTTTATTAATAGTTTGCCTACATGTATGTATGCGTACCACACACATGCCTGGGATCAGAAAAGGACATCAAATCCCCTAGACCTGGGGTACAGATGGTTATAAGCTACCATGTGGGTGCTGGAAACCAAACCCTTGTTCTTAACTGTTGAGTCATTTCTCCAGGCCCCACATTGTTATTCAATAGAAACATTTCTGAAAAATTATCCAATGAGAGCAAAATGCCTTTAAAGTACAAACCTAAGTAGGTTTACCTGACCAAGGGTTTATGTAAGCTAGAACACGGCTCAATAGTAGCATGCTTACTAGCATGCCTAAACCACCTCAAGGGAAGACAGAGCTAACCTGAGAAAGAACTGATCTGTTTCAACACAACCTTCTTATTGTTGCTTTAGTATCTTACTTGCAAACCTATCAGAAAAGGCCAACAAAAGGCAAATTTGCACTTTACTGGGTGAGAGGGACATTTAGGACTAGAAGTATAGCTCAGTGGAAGATCAAAGCCCTGGGTCCAATCTCCAGTGTCCCTCCCTATCCAAACAAACAATAAAAGCCCAATATGACAACTAAGGTTTACATTTCTCAATAATAGAAAAGTGGGTGAATAATGTGCACATTTTTATATTAAAAGATATTTAGAGAGTTGAGGGATAAAAGGAAAGGAAAAGATATGCAAATACATGTCCAAATAAAACAGCATAAGCACTCAGAAAAAAAAAAAGACAACTCCCCTATAGTGGATTAGACACTGGTTTTTATGGAGAGCTTAAATAATAATAATAATAATAATATATATATATTTTTTGTTTGTTTGTTTGTTTATTCGAGACAGGGTTTCTCTGTATTGTTTTGGAGCCTGTCCTGGAACTCACTCGGTAGACCAGGCTTGGTCAACTCACAGAGATCCACCTGCCTCTGCCTCCCGAGTGCTGGGATTAAAGGTGTGCGCCACCACCGCCTGGCAAGCTTTAATAGTATTTTTAAAGGTGTCTGTGTGTGTGTCTGGGCACATGTGCCCATGGAGGTTAGAAGGGGACATTGGATTTTATGGAGCTGGAGTAATAGGTGGTATGTGAGTTATCTGGTGTGAACCCTGGTGGTCTGATGGAACAGCAGTAAGAGCTCTTAACCACAAAGCCATCTCTCCAACCCTTATGGTTTGAAAGTTTTTAAAATGGAAGCCATAAAAATAAAAACTTGCTTTCACTTTAAATAAAAAAGTTTAAGTGCTATAGCTTTCAGCTGGGTGGTGGAGGCGCACACCTTTAATCCCAGCACTTGGGAGGCAGAGGCAGGTGCATCTCTGTGAGTTCAAGACCAGCCAGGTTTACAAGAGCTAGTTTCAGGACAGCTTCCAAAGCCACAGAGAAACCCTGTCTTGGGGGGGGAATGCTATAGCTTTCAACTTGATAGTGACTTTTTAAAATTTCCAAAGTTGAGAGAGAATAAAACAGGAGCAAGTTCATGATCAAGAAACCACCACCAGTCTTGTGAAAGGGCCAACAAAGCCCAGAGGCATAACATAAACAAACACAACCACCAGGACCAGAGTTGTCCTCAACCAAAAGCAGCACAATGTAAAGAACCAACCATCTCAACTGGGGCTGAAACAAAGGGAGAGTGGGAAGCAGTCCTAGGCCAGTGAAGAAAGGGATGTAAAACATTGTGTTACTTACGAACCTCTAAGGGTGAAAAAACAGCAAGTTTACCTGGAATATCCTGGGAATTTCTTTAGCATCTGCTCTGTATACATCTGTCTGTGTAACAGGTCGGACATGAAACAGCTTGCTATATAAGATTTTTAAATAAAGAAACAAATAAAATATTACCCAAGGATTATATTACATTGGTCATCTTATACCAGGAGTTAAAAATTTATTTATTGATTCACATTGGAAGCTCATAGACTGGCTTAGTTTTTGCTGTTGTTGCTATTGCTTTGAGTCTCACTGTGGCTATCCTGGAACTCACTATTGAAGACCACGCTGCCCTCAGAGACCTGCCTGCCTCCGCCTTTCAAGTGCAAGGATTAAAGGCGTGCACCTAGCTGACTAGCTTGTTTTATTGTTTCAGTAACTTTTAAGATAGAGAAATTTCCAAGTTGAACTTTCTTCAGAAAGCAGTATGTTAAGGAGCCATGAAACACAGATGCCTTGCAAACTGCCCACTGCCCACTTTCTTTCCACAAAGGAGAACTGCTACGCTAGTAAAGTGAGAGCTGCACTGTGGCTGCTGTGACGGACACGCTCCTATTACTCTCAGACTGCACCATGGGACACTTACTCTATATCCAGAACCATGTAAGGGTTAGACTGCTCTTTATCTTGTTCACTGTCATAGAAGAGAATCTTCTTACTGCTTACAATCACATACTGTTAAAAACAGGAAAGGAAGAAACTAATCAAATTACTATGCACTGTATTTTCTTTACAAGAAATTCTGTATTTGTGATAAAGTCATATGCTATGAAAATAAATAAAAGGCAGTAATGCTGCTTTGGGGAAATTTTCTTTATGGTAACAACAGTTTTTCTTATAGATTTGTATTTATTTTTCTGCTTGAAGAGATTTTAAATTAGTAAATGAGGGGAACAGACATATGAAACTGAAACCAGATCTATTTTTAAGCTTTGGGATCTACACACAGAATAGACATGCATGCATCACCCTGATCAAAATGAACAGTCATGATAACCTAAGTATCCAGAGTCTTCCCAGCATAGCTAGAGCAGTTTTTCACAGGACACAAACACAGCAGAGCAACAGGTTTTAATGACCTCAGAACCTGTTTAAGTAACAACCTGGAGAGTAAAAGTCTTCCGCACAGATAACAAGTTACATCAATCCACACCAGAAAGCATAAGCAAGTTTTATGTGTTCTGGCGTGCAGGCATGTCCACCCTACAACTCCATAAGGAAAATGGCTAGGGTTAAACCAGAAGCTAAAAAAAACAAACAAAAAACAAAAACAAAACAAGCAAACAAACAAAAACTACATTCGAAAGCACTTATTACCTTTTTAACCCATCCAAACTTCTTAGTGTTGTTTCGCACAGGCAATGACAACCATCCTTCTAATCTTGACTCTGTAAGTACGCAAAATATATGAAGATAAATATAATGATGCTTCCCTGACAATAAAGAATTTAATAAAACTTTAATGTGGAAGTCACAAGCCAGTCAAATCTGCCCCTTAGAATTTAGACCATATAGCACCCAGACTACTATAATAATGCATAATCAGTAGAAGCACATTACACAACACAAATCAAAACCAAGGCCACATCACATCATAAATAAATACTCCCAATTATAACATCAAATACTCCATTGGATAAATTCATGCACTGGCAAAATTCAGGAAAAATCAACACAAGAGCCAGTAAGCTTTTTATACTGCATGTCTACACAAGCCCGTCTCATTCTTTCTGTGGAGAGCATGCGGACTAGAGGAACAATGTGCACTCTTGAGTAGAAAGCCCTTTAAATGAGTGTGTGTTCAGAAAACGGAATTTCACAACAGCTATTCTAATTGTGTACAACACAGACCAACAATAATGTAACCAAGATTTCTAAGCTCTAAAATATCAAAATCAGTACAACTCTAATCAACAAAACAAGTATCTTAAGTCTTTGGATTCTGTTCTAACAAATTTGGTCAGGATGGCATCCTAAGAGAATATCCAAATACTACAAGTCATTACAAATTTATGCCCTCACAGCTCCACACAGCAGAACTCTACCCCTCATGAGATGAAGAAACTGGAGTCGAGACAGATCAATGAGAACCTCTGTGAGACTAAGAGATGCACTTGGGATTCTTCATCATTTCACCTGTGAGGCTTTTGGGGGTAAGATCAAAGCCAAATTGTTTCCTGTGCTCTTTTAGGACTTAGCACACTATGAACATGTATATACTTGGTGAAAACCTAAACACATTCTCTGAAACAGTTCGCATGATTTTTTTCTTTTTCTGTACTGTTCCTCTCCATATAGAAAACAGATGAAGCCATGCACTTTCAAGGATATACAACATACTATTTCGTGTCTGGAAAGTTGTCAAAAAAAAAATCAAACAATCTAGCACAATCACAAGGTTATTTGAAAAATGCCTTAAATTTGATTCGCAGTTCATGCAACATTTTATTTTTTTACTGCATCTGCACAACATGTTGGAGTGAGTGGATGTTAGTTAATGCTTTATTTTTTTTTTATTTTTTTCTCAAAAAGACAAAATGAAGTAGCTGGGAAAACTCCAAAGACTGATTTCCAGGATGTCACCTGCACCATTAGGCTCCGATGAGATGGGTAAGTAAGGCAAGGAATCTTCTTCAGAGTCAGAATCAAGAAGCATGTGAGAACTGGAGGGCTTAGTGGCAATACTGAGAGAAGTAGAGGAGCGCTGGTAGGTGAAGGACATGGACTCCATAGTGTGTGACTGAGTGATATGGACTAAATGTCCATAAGTAAGAAGCAAGGCAGGGAGGAGAGAAGAAAACAACGAATGCTTAAAAGACAGACAGCCGCACATAGCGTGAGTTAAATACCTAAACATTTACAATTTCATTTACATGTCTGTTTTAATGAAACAAGTCCAAAACGTCATGTAAATCCCCACTGCACGTAGGTTTTCCCTTAAAGAAATGACCAGTATTTTTCTCAAGAGCAAAGTCAGTCATGGAACTTAAAGCAATCAGTTGACTTAAATTTCAGGCAAATATAAGGGCTGACCAAGAATGTGTACCTGGAAATCCATCATCAGGCTCAGCATCCCCTGGTCCACTGCCTATACTGGAACTATCCATACCAATATGCAAGGCTTGGAGCTGTGACCGCAGTTGTTCGATGTCACTGTCTTTACTGTCCAGGGTCATCTGGAGTTCAATTCTAATCTGGCTCTCTTCAGCTATTTGCTGTAAGAAAATATGTTAACAGATGAGATGTATATTGTAACTGTGGGTCATAGCTCAGTAATAACTACTAATAGAAATGTTCTGCAATCACACAGACAAGGAAATAATTTTGTTTTTAAGAATTGTTTTCATTGAAAGAGTATTCTTACAGCCTGCATTTCATTCAGTTCTTTCTGGTATTTGATCATCTGTTGTGTCAATTTTTCACGTTCAGACTTAAGCTCCATATGTAACTTTCTGTTCTCTTTCTCTTTTCTTCGCACATCTGTGTCACTACCACGCTTGACAGGTTCTTTTCGATTCATGATCTCTGCCAACTTATTCACAGCCTTAAAAAAAGCATATAATAAATGATTATGCAGATGTTCTCTCAGGAACTCATCAATTACAAGCTGCATGATGACCAGTAATTCCTTTCCTATACACAGGGCTATAAAGAAACTTTTGAGCTAATGAGATGGCTCAGTCAGTAAAGCGTCTACTATACAAGGAGGAGGGCCAGAGTTCAGATCCCTGGCACCCATATACAAAGCCAGACATGGTGGTGCATGCCTCTAACCTCAATGCTGGGGAGGTAGAGACAGGAGGACCCCTCAAGTTCACTGGGTCAGCTAGTCTTGCCCAATCTGTGAGCTCTAGATTTGGTGAGACTTTGGTGAGGAGCTGGAAAATGGCTCGATGGCTAAAACTGCTTCCAGTTTCCAAAGGGACTAAGTTCAGTTCCCAGTACACATGTCATGTGTACTTATAACCACTTGTAACTCCAGCTCCAGTGGACCCAACACTCTGTTCTGGCTTCTCTGGGCACAAGCTCATCAACAAATGAAGGCAAGTTGTTTTTTTCTTTTTCCTTTTTTTGGGGGGAAGAGGGCAGATTGTAATACAGGAAGACATGAGAAGCAGTATATGGTCTTCACATGCATACACATAAAACACTTTTCATTTTATTTTAAATAATGCACTTCTTATTCTCATGATTTTTGAGAGTGATGATTTAAAGTGTTTCAAGGGCTGTGAGTGTAGCTTGGGTAGAATGCTTGACTAGCATATGTGTTTCCCCACTAAATTACATGCTTGATCTGATGCCATTTTCTATAATTAACTTTTATTAGAAGAGATTTTCATAGGCAAATATCCCTCCTATTCTGAAGGAAGTGAATTCTGCCTTGGCACTAAAATGTACTTTGTCCAACAACAGAATAGCACTAGTATATGCATGCTTTGCTACAAATACAACCACGGGAGCTAACAGAGGGGTGCTAATAATCAGACCCCCCTGACTCTTTCCAGGCTATTAGCAAATAACAAAAAATTGGAAGAGAATGTGGGACATCTGAAGTTTCTTCTGACCCGACAAAAATAACCCAGGAAATTGTTTGATATGGTGACTGTAGAGTTAGAAGTGACAGGTGATAGGGATGAAAGCAAAGTTCAAACCCGCATTTGCATTCTGGTGAGGTGCATACCTGAGTCTTGAGTGTCCTCTCGGTCAACAGCTGCTTCTCAAACTGAGCTTTAATAGCTGCTGCACTGATCTCTTCATCTTTCAACTTTGAGAGCTCTGGAAAGACAGACAGTAAAATTACACCCCAGCTACAGTCCCTGGGTGTGTGTGTTCACAGTAAACGCTCCTTCCTGTAATACATACGCTCTTGAGTGTCTTTCAGCTTGTTGTTTAGTTCTTCTTTCTCATTCGCAAGATTCGCAACATCACTAGTTAGTGTTCTATTTGTTTCCTCGAGCTAAGAAACAGAAGTGGGGAGAAAAACCCACATATCAAGTTACAAACTTCTGGCTGTCAGACAGTCACCCAAACTGAGACACCCCCCCCCAGAACACTTCTCTCCTCTTTACTTCCCCCTGCATTACCACACCAGACATACCCTTGATAAAACCTACGTATTCCAGAAAACTAACAATCTGTCCTCCTTTCACCAACTCTTAGTAAGTTTTTTTTTTATGAGAAAATTACTTAGTAAATCAAGAAAAGGGAAAACAAAGGCTTGTGCTTTGATCACACAGAGTAAGCTAAAAAACTGTAGTATTTCTTTCAGAATGTTACTTTAAAATGAAAAATGAGTTTTTATTGAAGATGATATCCTTTCCCTCCTTTCTAAAGTTTCATTATAATTTCCATGCAACTTTCCAACCAAATACTGCAAATTTCTATTATAAACACATGAAATAATGTATGTGATTTTTAAAATTATGACTCAATACATTAAAGAATTAAATTTGCTATGGTAGGGTACAGCTTTAACCCTAGCAGTCAGTACACAAAGGCAGGAGGTTATCTATGAGTTCAAGGCTAGTCTGGTAACAGAGTGAGGCCCAGGCAGTGAGTAGTGAGAGGTAGTGAGAATTAAGATACTAAGTGGGAATGGCAGATAATGTGTGTAATCCCAGCACTTGGGAGAGTGAGGCAGGAAGAAGATTAAGATTGTGAACTATGGGCCATCCTGAGATCAAAATAAAGAGCAACAAAATGTGTTACCCTGATGATATATATAAAGATATAATTCATTTAGCTCCAGCTTGTTTACTTCCACTTTCTACTACACTTAATGTACCTATTCCAGTTTTGTTTGCTGAGACAGGGTATTCCATTATTTTAAATTTTAATTTAATGTATATAAATAAGTATTTTGCCTGAATGTTGGTCTCTGTAGCATGTGTGTAGTGCTTTCAGAGGCCAGAAAGGGGTGCCAAACAAACACCATGAAACTACGGAGTTGTTGTAAGACAACTATGAGCTGCCGTGTGGGTGATGGGAATCAAAGTCAGGTCCTCTGCAAGAGTAGCCAGTACTCTTAAGCACTGAGTCATCTCTCCAGCCCCCATACCTGTTTACTGATAGAGACATGAGGGCTTGCTGTTATAAGCATTTATGTGGCTATAAGCACTGTGCTAGTTTCTTTAGAATAATTATCTTAATGTAGACGTCTTTGGGTAGTATCATACACTTAAAATTTACCAGAAACTGTTATATACTATATTGAATTTACTCTCCATTTATAGTAAAGGAAATGCTGTTTTCCAGACACTTGGAAGTTGTCAGCTTATATCTGCAGCCATATGAAGGGGCATGCAATGGTAGTCCAAAGCTGTGGTGTTCATCTGGCCTTTTGCAGGAGAACAGCAACCACCTATCTATCTGAGCTGTCCCTTTGGGCCAATTTTCTTCTAAACTGTTTCATTTACTTTATGACTTACAGGAGCTATGTATGTATCCTAAATAGTAATCCTGTTCAAATACACAAGTATCTTTTCTTTGATATTTAGGCTGTCTTTTGTCATATAGATGTTCTACACCTTAAAATTTTTATTTTTCACATTTGGTCCTTAAAGCTAGGTACAATTTAACTAGTTAGTAAGGACGTAACTTTATTCCTTTCACATAAAAATCCCATTATTCTAAAATTATTTATTGACCGAGTCCTTTCGCACTGGCTTTATTACTATCTGCATAAACACCCAGGTCTTGTGTATGTACCTCCCTCTGGTGGACCATTCACTCCCCTTCTTAATGTAACGGCACAAGACCAATTACTTTCTGTTTTAGTTTTCTCTGAAATGTTTCTTTAGTTAATCTGTTAGACTCTGCTAACAAATACAGACAATTTTTAATTTACACCTGACACAGCGACCAGATAGATGTTCCTGGGATTTTATGATGCAACATTTTACTTATAAACCCAAAGCACCAAGAATTTTACTTACAGATGCAATTGTGGCATCCTTTTCAGTAAGTTCTTGTTTGTGCCTGGCCATCATCTCTTTTATCTCCAGCTCTTTCATAATTTTCTCTTTTTCCAAATCAGAATACTGTTCTTCAGCAATGGACCGGGCCAGCTGCTCAGAATCTGCTTTGGTCAGGGTAATCTCCAACTGGGCAGCCAAAGAGTCTCTGATTTCAAAGATATATCATAAAAAAATGTAGCATATGATGATGGGATTAAACTCAAGGGCTCGCGTATTCTAAGCACAGTCACCTAAGCGAAGTCCCAGATCCCTTGGAGATGGTATACTCGACTTGATTCTTAATCAGACAGCTTACTTGGTGGAAGGCTGAGAACAGGGCACACACCCTCAGCAAGGGACAGGCCCTGCTCTTACCTTTCGTCTTGCAAGTCCTGCTTCTTCTGCTGCAACTCTTTACAAAGCTTCGTTTTCTCTTCACTCTCTTCCTTAAGCTCTCTAACTTGGGTCTTATAGAGGGTCTAAACAGCAAAACAGAAATGTGTTCATTATCACCAAGAATATGACTTACATTCAAGACCTAGCAGGCCAAAGGCTCAATATATACAAACATTTTCTTAATGTTGAGTAATTTGGGTCTCCTGAGAAATCAAATGGGTTTTCCCATTTTCTAGTCACCAATTAATAAACAAATATCTGGCTAGCAACCAAAGTACACTGTAGATTGCATATCCTTCATCTAATTTCTAGCATACTCAACTCCTAAAAAAGACAGTTAATAATATATATAAATATGACTTTCGACTGAATATTACAGCAATAATTCCAATTAAATGCACAGGTTGGTAGTATAAATGAAGAGGTGATGAAAAATACTGCTGGTTTGTTTTGTTTGTCTTAAGTTGACAGATCTTGGAATTATCCATGAAAATACTTCATATTGCTGGATGGTGGTAGCACACACCCTTAATTCTGACACTGAAGAGGCAGAAAGAGGCAGGTGGATCTCTGAGTTTGAGGCCAACCTGGTTACAGAAATGAGCTCCAGGATAACCAGCACTGCAATGAGAAACCCTATCTTGAAAGGAGGGAAGAGTTATATTTTTAAAGTGTTTTCAAAAACCCCACTAATATAAAAATGACAATTTTATTCCTTTATTATAAAAGCACAATCCAAAAGGTGATGCTTTTAACAAGCTTTACAGGTTCATAATAGTTGATGCTTAAGATTAAGTTCTAGCAACAATAGCTAATTTGTTGTTTTGAGACAGTTTCCCCTTCTGTTGCCCAGACTGGCCTTAATGTTGTGGGTTCAAGTGATCTTCCCACCTCATCCTGTCTGGTAGTTAGAATTATAGGTACATACCACCAAGCCAGTCTGATAAGGGATTCCTGTTAAACAATTAGATTCTTTTGCCCAGCACGTTGTTTTTTCTTTTTTGTGGTGGTGGGTATTAAACTCAGGACCTCTTCCATGCTAGGCAAGTATCTTACTACTGAGCTACATCCCCAATCCTTGTCTCCTTTTTATGAGTCCTGTCAGACTCCACCCAAATCTCTGGTATGATTGTAAACTATTATAATCCCAGCACTCAGGAGATAGAAAGTTTACAAACTGGAGGCCAGCCTGGGACACACAGCAGGACTGTTTAAAAAGCCTATAACCTAAGGAAGCAAGAGCAAAAAAACAAAAGCTGTGCATCTTACCCTCTTCTGACCTCCCAGGGTACCAGGCAAGCACATATACACAGACATGCCTACACCCAAACTACGAATACACATAAAGTGAAATAAATATTTGTTTCAATTAAAAGACAACCATTCTCTGGTTCTGCAGGAAGGGCCTTACAGAGAAATACTGCTCAGCTTCAAGCTGGTCTTGTAGCTCCTTCATCTGCCCGTCTGCATCCTGCCGCTCTCTGTGAATACAGAGGGTTAAAGTCTTTAGTAAGGTATACACATTTAAACCCAGTCACTCTGCAAAGAACCCCTGCAATCAAGTCACGCTCATGCTAGCACGTCATCACTGCCTGGTGGCAGAGACTGTAATCCCAGCACCTGGGAGGCGGAGGCAGGAGGGATAGAGAGTTCAAAGCCAGACTAGAGAATTTCATGAGACCATGTATTAAAAAAACAAACAAAAATCCAAACAACTGGAAGCCAGGTGTGGTGAGTTACACATGCAATCTCAGCATCCTGGAGACCAAGGAAAGGTTGTGGCCGGCCAGGGCTATATAGTAAGACTATAAAAACAGCTACACCAGCAAACACTGTAAAAAAATCAAACAAAAACCGCCCCCCCACACACACCCAGGGGTGGGGGGTATTGCCCTCAGTAGGATGGGACACTAATTTCTTCAGCACTGTACACAGGTTTTTCTTGAGGCTATATGGCTATATGTCACATCATGATGCCATGAATCTCATTGGCTAATGCAGTGTGTGCCTGTATTTTCAGTTTCACTTTGCTTTCATATTGCTATATAAGTTGACTCTGGAATCCCAATCTGTTTTACACTCCCAAGTGTTAAGATTATAGGAATTATTACCACACCTGGCCTTCATTTCAAATAAATACTATTATAAATAAAACATACAAAACCTCTCAGAAGCTGTCAGACTGTCTGAACCATTAACTTACTTTCGAAGTTCAGCATTTTGCTTTTCCAAGTTCATTTTCATTTCCATGAGATGATTGTTTTCTTGCTTTATCTGCTTTTCTGACATTTTTAGGGTGTTAACTTGCTGGGTCTGCATCTTCAGGTCATTTTGCATAAGGCAACGTTTCTGAGTTTCCTGCTCTATTTTTAATGTCAAATTTCTAACCTAAAAAAGTAAATTGTATACTTGGTATTTAAGTAAATTATTCTGATTTTTCTCAGAAATAATGCTTTTTTATTCATGTCACATTAAAATATAGATAACATTTCTGATATTTTTAAATAAAATATAATCTTTAAGGTATAAGTAACTTTAAATTACTCAGTTATGACTGATTTACTCTATCAACAAAATCCACTAAAGCCAACAGATTCTATAGATTATTACAAGAAAAAGACATTAAATAATGCAATCACCATTAGATATCCTCACTAAAACTTGTTTCCTATTGGCTCATTAACTTTTACTTGGTATAACTCATACTTACATCCTCATTCAGCACATCTTTCTGCTTCAGCAACTCGTTTAGTTTTTGCTGGGACTGTTTGAGGTCACAGTCCAATATAGAGCATCTTTTCTCAGCCTCCAGGAGCAGGTTCTCCACTTTCTGTTTTAAAGACCTTTCTTCCAACAGCTTCTTCTCCATCTCTATTACAATGAAAGTGGGCACAACTATGAGTTTGTATTTTTAAGTGAGAGCATACTGCCCTATATTGTTATTTGTTTTTATCACTTCAAGTATGTTTGAAATAGGAATTATCACCTATTAGATTTAGGCTAGAAAACTGGGAGCTTTATTTGTGCAGTATAAAATGTATCATACTACATGTGATACTACATCTATTCTAATGGGAAAAAAAAAAAAACAAAATCCTGTCTTTGTCTGAAAGCATTCCAGGCAGATTCCATGACTTCCCTTTCCATATTAATACATTATTACATAGGTGGTGGAAATTATGTTAGGGGAGATAGACAAACTCAGGAACCAAACTTTCTGAGTTTAAGTCTTCATTCTGCCACTTACTAATTGTTTGCATAGGTAAATTAACTTCTTTGAACTTAATTTCCCTCCATCTAGAGAGGTAAAGGTATCTAACCTCTAGCATATGGCAATAAAGTTTTGAGGTGAATACACATACGGGACTTAAAATACTGCCAGGCATATGGGAGACACTAGTAAGTGCTCATTAATACTTAGGTGCCTTTTGTTTGTTTGTTTTAAAGAATTCACAAAAGAAGAAAATGGAGTAAATCTATGAAGAATTAGCTTACTTAAGTAGAATTGCAGGTAATCTTTGCTTTTTGAGTTATACTTTCCGCCGGGTGGTGGCGGCGCACGCCTTTAGTCCCAGCACTCGGGAGGCAGAGGCAGGCGGATCTCTGTGAGTTCGAGGCCAGGCTGGACTAACAGCCTCCAAAACAATACAGAGAAACTCTGTCTCGTAAAAACCAAAAAAAAAAAAAAAAAAAAAAAAGTTATACTTTCCTTCATTTTTCTAAATTATCTGCAATAAACCCAACTTATCGATCAGAAAAACAATCTTTTAAAACCATTTTTTTTTCTCAGTTAAGGTGAGCAATAACCAAGAAAGCTCAATTTTAAAGGTAAGCTTTAGTAATCTTTTGATTAGTGTTTCAGTTGATATCAAAGTCAGACTCCTCTGCACTCTCACACTTAATGTTTAACATCCAACTATCATTTATTTACAAAGTTTCATTAGATGAGGATGAAGTCCATTAATTTTTAGGTCTTTTTTTTTTAAGTGTACATGTGTTCATATGTGTATAGAAGCTTAGAGCTGATGTTGAGTATTTTCCTTGTTTGCTTTCCACTCTATATACTGTGGCAGGGTTTCTATGGGGGTGAACATGGAACCCACTAATGCTGGCTTGCCCCAGGAACTCCCACTCTCTGATTCCTGAGTGCTGGGATGACAGGCTGCTGCCATGCCTGACTAGAATTTACAAGGGCTCGTCCATGCACAGCAAGTACTTTATCCATCAAGCCATCTCCTTGACAGAACTAAAAATATTTATTTAGTGAAGGATCTTGAAAAGTGTGTACATATAAACGAAACATTCTTTACATGCTACTAAGTAGGTGGCATTTCTAATTATTTTATATGTATAGTCACACTTGGTTTTCACAACCTAACAATACCATCATTATGCCTTTACAAAGAACTAAACAAGGTCATACTGGCAATATTTACTTGTTCAAGCCATGTTCTTAATCTATGGAGGTGATAACATATAGTAGAAAGAACAAGAATTTTAAATCCAGGCTTAAATAACATCTATCACATTTAAGTGTTGTGTGCCTATATGTAAAATATAAGGAAGTCATTACTTACCTACATGTATTAGTGTTCCAAGTAACCACTAGAAACAATTAAAAGTTATATTGAATTGTTTCATTTTTGTCAGTTTGGAAAATAATCAAAAAATAAATGCATTCGTGGCACACGGCTTTAGTCCCAGCACTCGGGAGGCAGAGGAAGGCAGATCTCTGAGTTCGAGGCCAGCCTGGTCTACAGAGTGAGCTCCAGGACGGACAGCCAGGGTTACACAGAGACACCACCACTCAGCTGTACAAAATGATCTTGAGAGGCAAAGCTGGAGGGATGGATGAAGGTCTCAGGTAGCAGGAATGGGAAAGGCTGTATGAGTTTTTCATCTGACAATAGAGATCTATATTCCAACTGTGGTAGTGTTACAAAAATCTACACCCTATGTCAAAACTCATAGAACTAGGCAAGCACAAAAGTTCAATGTCACCACATGCTAATGTTAAAAATAAAGTAAGCAAAAAAAGAAATGCATTCATTTACACAATAAATATATATTCATTAAAAACCATATATTATTGGCATAGAATAGAAAGAAGAAAACTTACTGAGATGGTAGACATATTCTACATCTTGCTTTGGTGGTAGCTATATGAGTGTAACACCAATACCAAAACTATTTATATTTTATTGAATATAAATTACACTTCAAAAGAACTCAATTATCTCCTAGGCCATAGACAAGGAAATATACATTCTATAACCTTAATCTCTTCAGATAAGACCTTTCTCAATAAAGGGCCAGTTTCATTTCTCTTTGGTTTTTTGAGACAGGATCTCACTGTGTAGTCTCAGCTGAAACCTGCATGCTTCTTGCCTCCTGAGTGCACCACTGTTTATGACTTCTTTCATTTCTTATCACCCTGAATTAGTGCTTTAAACTAAGTCTAAATCTAAATGTTAATTATACGTAAAGAGTGAAAGACTACTTCTTCTTCTTCTTCTTTTTTTTTTTTTTTTTTTTTTTTTGGTTTTTATGAGACAGGGTTTCTCTGTATTGTTTTCGAGGCTGTCGGTCCAGCCCAGCCTCGAACTCACAGAAATCCGCCTCCCCAGTGCTGGGATTAAAGGCGTGCACCACCACGCCCGGCTAAGACTACTTCTTCTATGCTGCTTGTAATATTCTGCCTTGGTAAGAAGTGAAATTTCTGACCCAGAGTTTTAAGATTTAGATAAACATATTTTCAAGTACTGATTACTTCTAGAACTTGAAATCTATTTTAATAATAAATAGTTAGGAAACAAATTTATCCCAAGATAACTCTAATGCAAAGATTTGTCTGTGAAGCTAACTCTGCGATCTATTAGTATCACATGGTTTTAATAAAATCTGACTGGCATCTTTAGCATGTCAGAGTCCAAACTACTCAGTGAGCTAAATTGTCTAACTCAGTGGTTCTCAATCTGTGGGTCATGACCCCTTAGGATCAAATAACCCTTTCATTGGAGTCACCTAAGACATCAGAAAACACAGATATACATTATGATTCATCATAGTAGCAAAATCACAGTTATGAAGTAGCAATGAAGATAATTTTATAGTTGGAGGTCACCATAACAAGAAGAACTATATTAAAGGGTCTGAAGCATTAGGAAGGTTGAGAACCACTACTCTAGGCTAGACCAGCTATTATATAAGCTTTGGTCTTACATAACTATTACTACTTTTGTAACATAGCTAGAGAAATGTCAAACTACAGTAAATATTATATCAAAGGACCTATCTCCCAAACATTAATATAGAATATCAAATTATACACCTTATGCCATGTCACTGAAACATCACTTTCTTTCAGAACTAAAAATATGGTAGAATGATTTTGTATTTAGGCTTTTAGTTTCTTAAAAACTGTTATAATGATACAAAGGTTAAAAATAAAACAAGAAGTATATGAAGTTTCCCTGATAATTTTCTTCCTTTCAGATCCCAATACTTGGCAATATAAATAGATACTATATTTTGTAAAAAGCGAAGACGGACTCCAGAATCAACTCTTGGAAAATGTTCTGGGAACACACCTCACAGTGCATACCTTTCATGGCTTCTGATTTAGCTTCTTCAATGGATTCATAGATCTTGTTTTTGTCTGCTAGCCGTGCTTTTGTGGTCTTGTGTTCCGCTTCTTCTTGCTCTAAACTCTGCTGTATCACCTTCAGTTGGTATGTCATATCTATTTCCATGTTGCTCTTTTCCTAGGTAACATTGTTAATGGTGATTATTAACAGAATTTCAAAAACTCTTAAAATTGCTTTTAAACAGTTTCACTAAGCCGGGCGTTGGTGGCGCACGCCTTTAATCCCAGCACTCGGGAGGCAGAGGCAGGCGGATCTCTATGAGTTCGAGACCAGCCTGGACTACCAAGTGAGTTCCAGGACAGCCTCCAAAGACACAGAGAAACCCTGTCTCGAAAAACCAAAAAAACAAAACAAAACAAAAAAAAAAACCCCAGTTTCACTAAGAATGTTCAGTATCTCCCTTCCTTTCTACACCTGAGTTTCTTGTAACGTACATACCCACCAGCCTCTGCCACTCATCCACTCTATTCTGAGACCTGAACTGAGCCTGCTTCATTTCAGTGACATGACTAGAGTGCTATTCTCACATCTCAGACTCTCTCATTCTGTGTCTCTATCTGCAGCCCCGACACCCCCCACTGATGTTGTTGACAATGGATCCACTGGCTCTCCTTATTAACTAGCTCTCACCTTCCTACCACTTTGAAGGTTCCCCAGCTGCCTCTCAGAGGCTACTTTTACTCTTTTTTTCAATTATCATTTCATTTTAAATGTGTTTGTATGTTGCTTCTATATGTGTATGTTTACCAAATTGTGCCTGATGCCCAGGTGTCAGAAGAGGGTAATAGATCCCCTGGAACTGGAATTACAGATGGTTATGAGCCACCTTGAGAAGGCTGGACCAAACCTGGGTCCTCTGCAAGCAGAACAGGTGCTCTCAAATGCTGAACCATCTCCCCAGCTGCAGTCCCCTGATGTTCTTTAGCTACAAGTTCTCTCTTCCTCAAGCACGATTTTTCAAACGTTAAAAATTATCTATCTAGTAGCCATGTGTGATGACCAGACCTTTAACCCCAGCACTCAGGAGACAAGGTCAGGCAGATATCTGGAAGTTTGAAGCCAGCATGGTTCATAAACAAATAAGCAATGTTTGTTCGCTGGTGGTGGCGTGCACGCCCTTAGTACCTGCACTCAGGAGAGAGAAGTAGGTTGATCTCAGTGAGTTCAAAGCTAGCCTTGTCTACAAAGTGAGTTCAAGGACAGCCAGAGCTAGACAGAGAAACTCTGTCTCAGAAAAACAAAAACAAATCATGCCATTACTGTTCCCGATCCTCCAGCTAGAGTCTGCCTCTTCTCCTGCCCAGCTCTCTCACATATAACCTGTCCGGCTCGTTTTCTACAACTAGCATTTTGTTTGCATACAACATGTTAGAATTACCTAGGGCAGTGATTCCCAACCTTTCTAATGCTGTGACCCTTTAATACAGTTCTTCGTGTTGTGGTGATCCCTCCAATCATAAAATTATTTCTGTTGCTATTTTGTAACTGTAATTTTGCTGCTACTATAAATTATAATGTAAATATTTGTGTTTCTGATGGTTTTAGGCATGTGAAAGTGTTGTTCCACCTCCCAAATGGGTCTCGAACCACAGATTGAAAACCACTGACCTGGCAGCTTTAATATTACACTTTTATTTTTTTGAGTCTAGGACTCACCAGGTAGTCCCCAACTAGACTTGAACTCAGAGATCCACCTGTCTGTCTCCTTAGTGTTGGGATCAAAGGCTTGTGTCACCATGACCAGACCAGCTTACTATCACTTTTAAAATTATCTATCAGACTGTGATATTATTGAAAGCCTGTAATATTATTGAAAGCATCACTGTATCCTAATATTTCTACTATAGAAAACATTAAATATTCAGATTAATAAATAAACAAATGAAAGTAAAATATTAACTAGAAATAATCTCTGGCTCCGCAGTATTCCAAAAGAAAGAGAAAAATAAACCTCGAAATGTCACAAGCCATATATTCCTCCTGGGGTTTTCTAATCAGGGTTTTTCTCTGCTTAACAGTCATGGCTGACCTGAAATTTGCTTTGTAGATCAGGCTAGCCTTGAACTCACAGAGATCTGTTTGCCTTTGCCTCCCAAGTGCCACCATGGTCCAGAACAAGTCATATTCTAATTTTATGCTATATTAATTTTAAGCTATCACAGTCAAACTTTGAATTTTTCTACATGGTATGAAATTCTCAAAGAATAAAATTTATTTTAAAATGTCTTCCAGAGGACCTGAGTTCAATTCCTAGCAACCACATGGTAGCTCACAGCCATCTATAATAGGATATGATGTCCTCTTCTGGCAGGTAGATATTACATGCAGAGCATTCATATACAAAATGTAAAAAAGTAAAACTTTAAAAAGTCTGAATTTCCCCTGGGTCTCTAAAAAAAACCATCATTATGTACACTAAGTCCCTTCCTTCATGTAATCTAGCATACCAAAGGCTGCCAACTGGTATTTACCTAGTGAATGATTGTTTAATTTATTCCCTTTTTTCACCTAAAATCACGCTGTCCTCTTTTTACAAAGTATGGTGTACCATGCTTACCTTCTCTAGGTCAGTGAGCTTCTCCTGCAGCTGTCTCTTCTCCAGCTCTACTTTTGTTAGCAAGGCTTTGCCAGTCTTCAAATCTTCTTCCAGTCCAGAGATTCTACCTAAAATTTCAAACACTGCTTAAAACAACATATTCAGCATGCATTCAATTAAGAATTATCTATGTCATATTTTGGAGTTGTTTTTTGTGAGCAAGAATTATTTTAACCTATCAGAACAGTACTTTAAAAATTAATTTAGCTAGAATTCAATTGCTCATCTAAATCTAATAAAGATATACTATTTGAAAGTATATCTTTTGTTCGCAAATTTTTTAGCAATGTATTTGCAATGTCCTAATTTTATTTTGCAATTTTTATTTTACTTATGTCTATGTGTTTGTGTCTGAGGATGGGCTGGCTTGTGCATGTGAGTGCAGTATCCAAGGAGGCCAGAAAAGGGCGTTGGAATCCCTGAAGTTGGAATTACAGGCACTTCTGAGCCTCCTGGTAAAAGGGCTAAGAACTGAATTTCTTAACAATATGTGCTCTTAAACAGCTAAGCTGTCTCTAGCCCCAGGCTCTAACTTTACTAACAAAACATTACATAAAAAGCAAACAAACAAACAAACAAAAATACACAAAAAAACAAAGCAAGCCAGGAGTGTTGGCAAACGCCTTTAATCCCATGTAGAGACAGGCAAATCTCTGCGTTTGAGACCAGCCTGGTCTACAGAAAGAGTTCCAGGATATCTAGGTCTACACAGAGAAACCCTGTCTTGAAAAACAAACAAACAAACAAACAAAAACCCCAGGTTACTGTAGTGCATTATTCATCTAAAGTTATTTCAAAATCACAAATTATCAAAACTCATGTCAAATACAACCACTGCTTTTATACCTTGTAAATCATGAATTATCTCTGATCCATGGGTCCGGTCCCTCCTTTCAGATTCTAGAGCTGACTGAAGATTGATAAATTCCTTTTCAAGCTTTAATTTGGCAGTCTCAAGCAGGCAGTTTTTATCTTGTAGATCTCTATTGTTAGATTCCAGCTGCTGAATCTGTTTGGAACTTTCTGCTTGGGTTTTTCTTAACCTTGCTGCAGTGTCAGACTCTGTTCGCAGCAAAGCATTTGCTTCATCCAGCTGTTATCCGATTCAAAAGCAAGCATATAAGCACAGATGTAACACAGTGAATAACATAGAACATCAATTTACTATCTTGTTACAGGGTACTTAAATAAAGACTCCAAGTATCATCCCCTTAAGTATTAGAGTTAAGGGGTTTGGCAACACAGTGGTCAGCATTAACAGGCGTGGACAGACTGAGTACGCCATACACAGACCACTTACTTGCTTCTGGAGCTGATTGAACTTCTCAGTGGATATCTGAGAGCTCTGGTTTCTTTTCTTCAAGTCTTCAAGTTGATCTTTTAAGCTGTTAACTATGAAACAAAGCATGTTAGTAGCAAGTTTTAATACAACATAGACATTCAATATTTTTCTTAAACATTTATCATTTTATATCACAAACCATCATTTTCCAAATTCCGTTTCTTATCAGCTTCATGATCAGCTTTCCGCTGATACTCTGCATTTTTGTGCTGAAGAAGGGCCTTTTCTCTTTCCAGCTGTCTCAGTGCCGATTCCACATTTTTCCTAAAGGTAATCTGAAATAATGATTAACATTATCATCAAAAGGAAATGGGCAGAGACGTCAGGTCAAAACCTAGCAGTAATCTCAAACACATAGAAACCTAAAATTGTCTTGTTAAAATAATAAAAAAAATGTTTCCCATGTTTGCAAGGTAGCATACTATAAGATAATCAAAATTAAAATAAATAGTTAATTTATTACACCATTAATAATCAAGCTCTCTGAAACTTGCTATCACTAATGAAATATTTGATTCCATGAACCTAAAATGTTATTAATATTAATACTTTTTAAAAATGAATTACCTCCTGTTTTTAAAGCATACCAGCCATTCTAATAATCATATAAAAGCAAATTTAAAAAAATTTTAAGTTAGTATACAAGGTAATAGTTTCTTTATGACATTTACATACATATATACCATCATATTAAAAAAAAAACTTTAAATACCTACACTAAATTAACTCAAACTGCCAAAGCAAGCCTAGGTAACAGAAGTCACCATGCAGTGATTTCCACCTTGTTCATTTATGACACAGGTAGGCTTTACTGGTATGTATTGCATGCCACTCTGGGAACTCTGTAGCTAAGTAGATATCAAACATTTTTACTAACAAAAATGCTAATACAGTATAAGAAATTTTTACCTCCTCTTCCAGCTCCTTTGCTGTTTTCTCTAGGCGAGTATTAATAGATCTAAAGAGTTTCAGAAAGAAGCAGTAAATAAAATAGTTCTAGTTTACGGTAAAGCACAGTCTATTAGTTGAGACAGCACTTATGTAATTATTTGTGCTTCTGCACTTTCGATACTGAGCTTAAGCTTCAGTCTTAATGTACTGCGGGGCAGCAAGCATACTTGCACTTCTGTTCCAGCTCCTCCTTGGCTTGCAATTCACTGCTAAGGTGCTCTTCTAGTGCATATAATTTCTTCTGAATCTGTCAAAAAATTAGAAGAAATTGTAAGTTTTGGTAACAAAAATGAGAGGATTCAAGTAAACAATGATCCCTATTTGTCTTTCTACTTACAGCACACCTTTGTAAGAGTACATACAGGGTCGGTGCCTGCTAGTATGACTCTGACTCGGAGAGAAAGGGCCCTTGCCTCCCGCTCTCTCCTTCATAGTACACATACACATATGAACACATACATTTACAGTAATAAGCTCTTTTGTGATTTCTTACACAGTGATAGGAACATTACTATGAAGGATTTAATGAATCTTGAGTAAATGATAGCTAATCATATTTCAAATCCTTACTTTTTATTAGTTGTTTTAAGCAAGAAAAATGTTAGAAACTACTAAATAACACATTTGAAACATTCCTTTAAAAATATTTACTATCTTTTTACATGCATGTGTGTACTTGCATGAATTTAAGTGCACCACATCCGTACAGGAGTTCTTGGAGTCCAGAAGAGGGCATCGGATCCCTTCCAACTGAAACCACCACGTGGGGTGTTTTTGGTTTTTACGAGACAGGGTTTCTCTGTATTGTTTTGGAGGCTATCGGTCCAGCCCGGCCTCGAACTCACAGAGATCTGCCTGCCTCTGCCTCCTGAGTGCTGGGACTAAAGGCGTGCGCCACCACCACCCAGCAATTTTTTCCTTGTTTAAAGACAGGATCTCACTGTGTAACACTAGGTAGCCTGTAACTGTTTCGTAGCCAAGCTGGCCCTCAAATGACAGATCCACTCTGCTTCTGAGTGATAGAATCAAAGGTATGGCCACCAGCACCTTCCTGCTTTTTTTGTTTATTTGTTTTGTTTTGTTTTAAGGATTCAACTTTTTGAGATCCTCTGGTGCCTTGGATGCAATATCCTATGGTGCCTTTACAAGTGTTGTCCCATTAACAGGAACATAATACATAAGACAATGTCTCCTAGGTGCGGTGCACATGCCTTTACACCACCCATCAGGCAGACCGAAGGAGCACTTTGAGCAAGCACTTCCAGACCTCAAAATAAGAACAACAATGGCAATAGGGTTATACTCACTTGATTAACTGAAATTCAACAATGTGAATACTCAAGCCAAGGCAGGTACACCAAAGCCAAGTATGTTCCCTGGGGTTTCTTAACTACTCCATTCATCTTAAAAACAACAAGCACTCAAACAACTCCTCTATTGCCCTCATACAAGTATAGGCTAAGAGCTGAGGAGATGGCTTGCCCAGTGAGCTGCTTACAGCACAAGCACAAGGATTTGAGTCTGGATCCCCTACCGTACACAGGAGAGTCGAGGCATGTTAGTCCCTAGCACTGGACAGGCTGAGGCAGGGAGAGGACAACCTGGTCTAGAGGGTGAGCTTCAGGTAGGATAAGGCTACAAAGTGAGACTCGTCTCCAAAACAAAATACCAACCAGCCAAATAAAACAACAACAAAATCAAGTCACAGAGGCTCGAGTCTCTAACTCCAGTACTGAGGGAAGGGGAGTTTGGGGGAAGTGTGGCAGAGACAAGCAGATCTCTGAGGTTTGCTGGTCAGCCTGTCTGACTTAATCCCTGAGCTCCAAGTATACTGAAACTCTTTTCCCCGTGCCAAAAAAAAAAAAAAAAAAAAAAAAAAAAGTGTGAAGACTATGGAGGAAGATACTGACTACTGGCCTCCATACAAGTTATAGATATAAACACATCCAATCATGTTCACATATACTAAACATGTAAGTGAAGTCAACTATCATTTTTCTCTTCAGTACATATATATAAAACCACTTTTCAAACAATAGCATTTTTTTTCTAAAGAAAATACAGACTAATGAGTGAGTCAAGATAAGTACTTTTGGCTGCTGTAATTTACTCAAAACATACTACTACATGTCCTTCATAAATAAAAACAAAAAACTACATAACTCATTTTAAACAAGATTCGCAAGAAAAATAATGGGTACTTGGCAGAAAAAAGGATGGGAAGTCTCTTGGACAGATGCAGTACTCCAAATGGGAAGCAGACTATGACTAGATTAAAATATATGTTTTTCTCCTTTTCAGTGTATTTGACAACGTACCTCTTGACTTTCCTATTCAGAAAAAAAAGAGAGAGAGAACATTTCAATGCTTGTTTTATAGAGTCCTATATTGCTTGTCATTCCAAAATTATTCAACAGGCTTTTCTACCTTTGTTAAGTTTGAAGAAAAATTAGCATTGCAACTTACACTTTTATGTGCATGATTTAACTTTGTATACAGTCACAAGATATTTTAACGCTTTGATTGACAGCTCTTTATGTAAATACATTAGTAAACAAGAACTCAGAAGCTGAACCACTCCCTGACTTTTACACCCTACTGTTTAATATGTATACTCTTTTACGCCACTAAGATCACAACATCTTCTAACTGGTATTAGAGCTATTTTGTAAATCTATCACTCTTGCTACTGAATGAAGCTGAAAGCACATATTGACATAAATGAATGACTTTAAAGTTGTGCTGCACAGGACTCTACACTTAAAAAGGAGTACCAAGTGAACTTTAAAAAGCCAGTGATGTGATGGGGCTGGAGAGATGGTCCACCAGTTAAGGGCACTGGCTGATCCTCAGAGGATCTGGGTTTAGTTCCCAGAACCCATTTGTTAGAACTGTCTGAAACTCCAGTGTCAGGGACTCCAACCCCCTCTTCTGGCCTCCACTAATATTGTATGCACATAGTGGACAGACAAAAATACAGGCAAAACATTCATACCCCAAAAGTACAAATAAGTAATTTTTTTAAAAATATGAGTATTTGAACATCTAACTAAAGTAAATAACAGTAAAAATTGTATACATACTTCACTTTTCCTTGTTTGTATTGCATCATTTTCTCTACAAGATGGAGAGTCACTTAATAACCTGGAAAGATGGAAGGAAATATTTTTCACACTTCACCTTATTTCAACTCCAATTCTGTGTAACACTTAATTCTGCTGCTGGGCAGTCACACCTTTCTGCCTCTGCATAGGAGGCACCCAGTCCTAGCTCTGTTAGGACTCATGCTGCTACACGGTCCTCTTCATCCTACTTGGGTTTCTACAATGTTTATATTCTACTGTTTTTTTTTTAGAAAGGAACATCTTTTTGGCAACAATTACATAAGAGCTCAATGTTGTAATTTATAGATCATCTTTTAAAAACCTTAACAATTTATTACACTCATTTATTGTTGTGTACTCGTGTAGGACAGGAGATGCGTGCAGAGGTCAGAGGTCAATTTGTGGGAATTTGTTCTCTTTCCATCACGTGTGTCTTCAGGTTCGGCAGCAAGTGCCCATCTACTGAGCCCCTAAGTCATCATTTTGATATTACTACCCATTTCTCTTTCAATTGTGTCCTTCCCACCATCTATAAGCATGCATATGTTTCTTTTATCCCTGACACTCTTTTTAAAAACATATATTCTTTAATTTTTTGTGTATAGGTGTTTTGCCCGAATGTTTGTCTGTGCACCACAGGGGCCAGAGGAGGGCATCAGATCTCTGGAACTGGAATTACAGATGGTGGTTAGCTGCCGTATGGGTTCTCAGAATCAAACCTGGACCCTCTGGAAGAGCAGTCAATCCTCTTAACTACTGAGCCATACCCCCAGTCCAATACTCTTCTTTGTTCAGAACTTTAAAAAGTCCTAAAACGTCATTATTAGAAGGTGGCCACTCCATCTTCATTTGCCTGAGCTTTTCCTGGTTTTGTTATCTCATCCTAGGAAGCACCTCAAACATGAACAACTGTGAAAACAGTCATTCTCATCATTACATGTGGGTGTACCAAGAAGTTTCTCACACTTTTAACATTTGATTCCAGTATTTGACAGTTTTCAGTGGCTCCTCCTTGCTAACTAGTCAAAATTTCCTCAGCAGAACATCCACTGGGAAAATCTTTTTAAAGGTAAATATCACATTCTACCTTTCCTTATAATTCTGCAATTCTCTTATATCCTTCAGAGATAATAAACTATCAAAATCAAGCAGCTGTTCTTACTGCCTATCTTCAAAAGAATATAGGACAGTGCCTTCTGATCATTTATAAATGAATAAAATGTAACATTCAAACATCAAATGATGAAATAAAGTTAAAAGTAGTTTAGACAGTCCATTAGGCAAAAACCTTACAGCTAAGCTCTGACAATAAAAAATTTTAATAAATAAATAACATACAGATTCTCTCTAAAGTAGGTAAATCCTATAAAAGGCAGCTGATTTCCCACAAAAGCTTTTGGTATTGGGAAGGTCTCTACATCTCCTTTGTCGTCCTCAATGTCATCAAAGTTACTGCTGTCTATGTCACTGCTGAGCTCAGGTACCACTGGAGCTGCGGCTGGGAGGAAAGAAAGTATTATTTCACTCACAGGCAAAACAAGATCAACTACTCTTTATGTTATATCATATTTTATACAAAACTCTAGCAACATATCTTCCATCTGCCATTTTATAGAATTAACCCATTGTAAGTAAGTTATTACTCTATTAGATCAGCTTTCAATACAGGCAAATGCATCAAACAAGGAAGGTCTATTGCATTATTCTAGGAGCTAACAGTTACAAGCAGCTAATAACAGACATGTATTGTAGAGGATCTCAGTTTTATACATTTTTGGGTTTGTTTGTTTTTTGAGACAGGATTTCTCTGTGTAATAGGCATGGCTGTCCTGGAACTCAACTCTATAGAACAGGCTGGCCTCGAATTCACAAAGATCCTCCTGCGTCTGTCTCCCGAGTGCTGGGAGTGTGCACCACCATTGCCTGGCTTAGTTTTCCACTTTTTCAGTAGAAATATTTCTTACTCTTAAAACGAATCAACATACACAGGAAAGTAAATTATTATGTTTTATCAGAATATGGTCTTAACAAGTAACTAATTTTTCAACTTCAGTACTCAAGTTAAAGGACATTTCAGCTGAGTGGTGGTGGCACATACCTTTAATCCCAGCATTTGGGAGGCAGAAGAGAACTGATCTCTATGAGTTCAAGGCCAGCCTGGTCTACAGAGGGAGTTTCAGGACAGCCTCCAAAGCTACTCAGGGAAACCATGTCTCAAAAAAAAAAAGTTTCAAGTGGCTGCAGAGATAGCCCAGTGGTTAAGAACACTGGCTGTTCTTCCAGAGAACCTGGGTTCAATTCCCAGCACCCACATAGCAGCTCACACCTGTTTGTAACTCCTGTTCCAGGGATCCAATACCCTTAGACAGATATACATGCAGGCAAAACATCAATGTACATGAAATAAAAATAAGTAAATTACTTTTTTTAAAAAAAAGGCCTACATTTCATGATTGAGATCCACAAAACTGCCAAATTAAGAAATGTACAATCTTTATTACAAAAAGAACTGGGAAATGTTGCTTTAAAAATGCATACTAGTTTACTACAAGAGAGATGAACTATTTAGTTACAAATTTTGCCACAGGAAAACCTGATCTCATAATTTAAAAGGGAGTTATCACACACTCTTATCAAACATGCACTATTTCAGAAGAGGAAATCAATCTGTAAGATTCAGACTATGATACTTTGGAGCGCTTGGATGGACTGACTTACTCTCTCTTATGTTTTCCCAATTCCACTGGTCATTCTTAAAGAAAGGATGCTGTTTGATTTCTTCTACCCCATTTCTTCCAAGTCGTACCTCCCTAAACAATGAAGTTAAAGATTGTTTTTATGAAAAATAGGAATATTAATTTTTTTACATTTTCACCAAAAGATCATACGTTGAAATACTTTTATGTGTCTGACTCTAGACATATTAAAGAGATATAATATGTAGTCAGAGTAAACTATAAGGGAAATAAACTCCACTTCCACTGGCATTCTGCTGTCAATAAAAGTCCATACAACAGGTAAAAGATTCCCTCTGCACATCCCAAATTGCATGGCCCAATGACCTCAGCTCAGGACAACTTTGGGCAAAGCATTACTTCAGGCTGCTTTCATAGAAGAACTAGTTAAAAATCATTTTCCTCTTAAAAAGAACTAACCATAACTCTCTCCATTTATATTAAAATCATCATTCTGAATAAAATGAAAAAGGTTATTTAGAATTTCTTTAACTCCCTTAGAGCATTCCTGAAAACGGGATGGAAACAGAAATCATCAAATGTAAGTGTTTCTTGTGAATTTGCAGTTTGCACCCCCATATTATAATGAAATCCTTACCGACTCTGGCAAACATTCCTCAGAATGTTTTATTTTACTTTATCAATGTTGGCTTGTCATCAATCATATAACTAACAAAACTTAACAGCTCTCTTCAACAAATGAATAGAGACACCAAGTAAAAATCAAACAGCTCCCTCACCTTTCTAAGGCAGCTCTCACACCCTTGTTCATCTATTTTTTTTAATCATAGAATTTCCAGCACTGATTAAAAAGTCAGAAGGAAGCACTTCTATATTAAACAAACAGTTCTTTTTTAGGGGTGGGGGGGGGCGAGACAACGTCTCACTATATAGCCCTGGCTATCCTGGAACTCACTCTGAAGACCAGGGACCTCAAACACAGAGATCTGCCTGTTTCTGTCTCCCAGTGCTGGGATTAAAGGCATGTACCACCTCAGCGACCTTTAAACAAGTAGCTGTTATAATTATAAACTACCAAGCTATCCTCTCAAAGTTATACAATCAAGAGTAATATGGATTACTACATAAGAGGGTAAAATGTGACACATAAATTTTATTATTCAAATATATTCATTTATTAAATCACTTATGCATCTTTATAGACATGAAGATTAGGATAAATTAGATGATCATTAGGTCAGTATTCACAAAATGATGAAGATAACCCCACAGCAGGCTTAAGTTGGGGGGGGGGTTCGGCTAAACCAGAATTAAATGCAACTAGGATAACAACAGAGGTTGATTTCCTACATATATAAAGCAAACATACTTTTACTTCTGCAAATTACAAAAGTAAAAGGGTTTCACCACAAAGAAACTCGGTATATATTTACCTGTCTGTTAAGAAGGCACAGATGAGATTCTTAGCATGTTTAGAAATTTCTGTATCTTCAGGGAAACACAGTGAATTTTTATGATCCATAATTTTGCTATAGGTTCCTACAAGTGAATCTGCGTAAAATGGAGTGTCCCCTAAATTTTAAAGAAAGACAACAATGACTGGAATAAAGAACTCAAGTTAAATACTTTTCATATAACATTTAAGTATCTTAAGTTTAAATCCATCTTCTTGCATGAAAGAACAAATGGCCTATATGCCAAGAATCACAGTGGAAATGAACAGAACAAATACATTTAAAATGTAACCACGCCAATGACTTTCCACCCTTGAAAATATAAATTTGCCTGTAAGTTTCCTCTAATTGAAATATTGTATCTTGGGATCAGGTGTAGTGGTGCACATCTTTATTCCTGGCACATGAGGACAGAAGTAGATTTCTGTGAGTTTAGGCCAGTCTGATCTACATAATGAGTTCCAGGACAGCCAGAGCCACATAGTTAAGACTCCATCTCAAAAAAAAGCAAACAAGCAAAAAACCCAAAAGAAACAAAAAAGAAAAATTACATTATTAACAGCCTAACTCAAAATAATTTTGTAATTCATCTCACTGTGATGAATTAATTACACACCTTAATTGTGCACACCTTAATCCCAGCACTCCAGAGGAAGAGGCGGATGGATCTTTTATGAATTCCAGGCCAGCCTGGTCTGCCTGAGAGTGTATTTGAAAGGAGGAGGAGAAAGAAAAGAAAGAGGAGGAAGAAGAGGAAGAGGAGGGGAAGAGCAGGAAGAAGAGGAAGAGGAAGAAGAATATGTATTTGTTTATGTGCTGAGTTCCAGCGCAGCCAGGGGTACATAGAGAAATCATGTCTTTAATAAAAGCCTGAAAACATGTACAAATAGTAACTAAAACACAGTTTACAATTCAATGACATAACAAGATTACATGAACTAAAGAATACTTTTAATTCCCTGTAACTATTGAAACAAATGCTAAAATTTACTTAAATATTTATTGAACCATTTAAAATATTTATAATAAAAAGATTATTAAGACACCTTGGAGCTAGTGAGATAGCTTAAGTGGCTAAGATTATGCAGTGTCCCTGCAAAAACTCAGTTCCCAGCACCCAGTCAGGTGTTCAAAACCAACTGGTCTCCAATTGCAGGGGATTTGATGCCTTTTTGTGTCCTCTTTAACCAACTACTGGGGTTGGAGAGATGGCTCGGCAATTTAGAGCATTTGCCCCTAACTCTTCCAGAGTTTGGTTCTCAGCAATCATGCCACAGTTGCCAGGAACCCCAGCTCCAGGGATGTGATTAAAAGATTAGTGGAGGCCTACAGAAGCTGTAAATTTGTTCTTGCTCTAATACTGCCTTAATTTAAGAAAGATCTAGTGATGAGTAGTGGCACATCTGCAATTTCAGCATCAAGAGGCTGAGGTAACAGATTTTGAGTTTGAGGTCAGAAATATAAAAATATTTAAAAAACAAGAAAGGATCTACTAGAGAAAACTTCCTACCAACATACAGCATACTTCTACTTTCTTTCCACAGTGAACTTCTTTTCAGTCACTGCACACCTTCTATCAGGTTCTACTTCCTTATTTACTAGCCTGTGCATTTGTGAGCATGCGCACACATGCTTGGTCACATTCACAGGTGGAAATCAGAGAACAGTTAGCAGGCATTGATTCTCATCTATCTGCACTGGAGTCAGATCGTGAGGCTCAGCAACTAGTGCTTTTACCCCTTAAGTCATCTCGCCGGGTTGTAACTTCAGTTTTCAGAAATTCTAACCCCTCCCTTCAATACCTTTACATTCTCCAATTCTTGACTGAACTACAAAGTGTTGTGACTTACCCACTAGCATCTCAAAAAGGAAAACACCTACAGACCACCAATCACATTCTCGCCCATAGTAGCCATCACCACCTTGGGATTTCAGAACCTCAGGTGATATGTAATCAGGAGTTCCCACTGCTGTATCGCAATGCACCATGCCTGTCTGGGTAAACAGCAGAATTAAAAAACAAAGCTGAACAACCAGACAAAAGTGAGCACACACAGATGCCTGATTTGTTATCAGACAGTGACACATCACTTCCAATATAACATCACTGCTGACATGGTTTCAGGACTCAGGAGATACATACTCCACCATAGAAATGTCTGGATCAGGGAGACCAGAGGTAAGTTTTCATCCAAGGAAAAAGGAAAAGGCAGTGGGCTGCCAAGACTATGAAACCCGATAACTTGTTGTTTATTTATTACATTATAAAGTAAGGGGGTACAAAATGTTATCTTAATGACACAACATAGGGAAAACAAAAGACTCATTGGGAAAAAAGCAGCTTTGCTGTTTTGGAAAGAAGCAGAAGCCCTTACAATCGGGTTAAGAAGTGGTTAGGAATTCAATCAAGACAGACTGAAGAACTTAGTAAACATTTAAACTAAAAGACCATCAAGGTTTGGTGCCTCTTACCTTTATGTATTTCTAATTACGTAGCTGTGTCATCAACATATTTGGCAAAGTGATTCAACATCTTTACCTGTGTTTGGTTTTGTTGGATAAGATACTTTCTGTGAGTGTCTTCTTATAAGACTATGTACGTGTATAACATGTGCATGTTCATGTTTGTGTGCTTGTGTGTGTAAGCCAGTGGCCAATGCTGGTCACTGGCTAGACTAGCACCTGGCACATCCCAGGATCTTTCTGCCTCAGGGTCTCCAGCATTGGTATTATAGGTACGTGCCTCCATACTTGGCCTTTTGTGGGAGCTGGGGGTCTGAACTCAGATTCTCATGCTTGACAGGTGAGTGTCTGATCCAATGAGCCATTTCCCTAGTTCCTCAGATATGTTTTGACAAAGAATCATAAGAGCGGAGTTTGACTCTCAGTGACTCCTTATAAAATAAATACTTTTGTGGCACTATGATAAATGGCATTCTCCCTTTGAAAAGCATTGCTCTTATCCACAAATTTTGGCTGACATACTGTTTTCTTTAAAAAATAAATATTTGAAAGAAATACTTAATATTTTTATACTGTCTGACGGAGAAGTATTCAATTAAGTGGATAAGACCCAACATTCATGACAAGTCTCTGGCTTTGTTTAAAGAACAACTAAAAGATAAACTAGAAACCAAAACAATTGACTCATGTAACTTTAGAGAGCAATGAGGAGAGGGTGGGGACAAGAAGCAAGCTACCCTATCTTTATCATATACTTTACATAGACAGAGCACTTAAAATCAGAGGAAATTTCATATATAAAAAAGTGAAAAGTTGCTGGGCGATGGTGGTGCACATCTTTAATCCCAGCACTTGAGAGGCCGAGGCAGGTTGATCTCTGTGAGTTCGAGGCCAGCCTGGTGTACAGAGCTAGTTCCAGGACAACCTCTAAAGCAATACAGAGAAATCCTGCCTTGGAAAACCAAAAAAGTAAAGGTTACCCCCCCATAACTACAGCGAAGGTAAGGGGAAAAAATAAATTAATCCAAGGAGCTTTAGAAAGCTAGTTATTTTAGCAGGGCATCTTCAAGCCAAAGAGCATTGTTAGCAAGTCTATTCATCTCAGTAGTTGGTCTAGTAATTATGAAACCATTTTAAATGTATGCTAGGGTCATACAAACAAACAAAAAGCCTATAAATAGCTAACAAGAGCCAGAGTTTCACAAGAAGGAAAGAGGAAGACTAGTGTGGGCTCTGTGATGTTAGGCTTCAAGCAGAGGTATCGATGTGGCACTTGACACACTATCTACAGTGACAGAGACTCAACTGTAAACATGTGACTGAACCCTGCGTGTGCATGACCCATGCCTCCAGGTCTATCCTGAGCTAAGATGTCATGAGCTCAGTTAGCACCTGTAGTTAACTACTGTTCTCTAATAAAAGGAATTAGAGCTTCTTGCAGTGGTTGTAGGGCCAAGGAAAACACCCACACACACACCAAACAAACAAACAAAAGTAAGGCAAGTCTTAGTATTCTGTAGTGTCAAAATCAAAGCAAACAGACTAAAGGGGACTGCTGAAAGGATACAGGGCCAACAGAAGGAGACTTTAGAGAGTAGCAATCTTTGAGCCAAGTTCCCACACAAAAATAGAAAATGGCCTGGGTCCAGAATATATAACCACGTGAATCATTAAACAACATGAAAAAAATCACAACTATGGAGCCCCAAAGTATTGTCAGGGGACAGCAAGAGGAGTTGTATCTCAAGAGGCTTCTATTAAAGGCTAAGGAGACTGAACTATAGTCAATCTGTTGGATCTACTGAAGAGGTCTGAGCTGGAGAACAAGGTAACTAGACATTAACTTTCAAAAAGTTACTGAAAATTACTTTGACTGGGGACTGGGGAGGTGTGTAAAAGTGATTCGTGTGCATGAGTGCGGACCTAATTTTGAATTCCTAGCAACCAAGTAAAAAGTCAGGCATGACAGTACATGGCCTGAAATTCCAGGCTGAAGGAGGGAAATATTGTGGTGGAGACAGGAAGATCCCAGGAACATACTGGCTAGCCAGTCTTGCCAAAAACAGGGAACTCCAGGTACAGTGAGAGAGACCCTGTTCAACATGGAAGGCTGGGGAGACGGCTTCATGATTAGGAGTAGAGAACTTGTTAAGCAAGCATAAGGGAGGGGGGGGGAGAGAAAGAGGTGGAGGGGAGAGAGAGGAGGAGAGAGAGGGAGGGGGAGAAACAGAGAGACAGAGTGAGACAGAGAGTGCCAGGCATGGTAGAATATGCTTGTAATCTCAGCATTCAAGATGGTGGGTGAGGAGTGTCAAGACAGATCCTGGGAGCTCACTGGCCAGCCAGCCTAACTGAAATGGTGAACTTCAGTTCAGAGAGAAACTGTCACAAGGTAATAAAGTAGCAAGTGATAGAAAACACCTGACCGGGGCTGGAGAGATTGCTCAGAGGTTAAGAGCACTGGCTGCTCTTCCAGAGGTCCTGAGTTCAATTTCCAGCAATCACATGGTGGCTCACAACCATCTACAATTCAATCTGGTGCCCTCTTCTGGTATGTAGGCAGAACACTGTATATGTAATAAATAAATAAATCTTAAAAAAAAAAAAAAGAAAGAAAACACCTGACCTCCCTGATGGGGAAGTCCTGTGCATATGTCAATAAAGCACTGTTGGCCAATAGGGAGGCAAGATAGGTGGAACTAGGAGTCGAGGAGGACTCTGGGTAGAAGACACACAGGGAGTCATCATGTAGCTGCTACAGGGGTAAGAAGTCCGGATCCTTTTCTCCGGTAAGAGAAATACTTAGATTAGCAATCATGAGGTAACTATTTAAGTCAGAGCTAGCCAGTAAGAAACAAGCAAGGGCAACAGCTTCATAATTAATACAGCGTCTTGTGTGTTATTTGGGGACTACAACGTAGCAGAGCCCAGGTGACTAGTGGGGAAAAACCAAAGCGGCTGGCAAGGAAAAGGCTTCACTCAACACCTCCCCCACTGGGCTCCTAATGGAAGTACACAGGTGTACACACACACACACACACACACACACACACACACACACACACACACACACACACACACACAAAATAAAATGGTTGGGAGAGATAGAGGAAGATACCTGACAACCACTTCCAGTTTCCACACATGCCCTCATGGGCAAGCATACCTGCACACATATGCACATGCCACACATATACCCAAAAGTTAATTTAAATGTATTAAATTAAATGTTTTCTAAATATATTTGATGTTTTGTCATTGGCAAAATATAGATCAAGAGAGTTTATTGAAAACTTAAAATTGATTAATCAGAAGTCTTGGGGCTGGTCTTCTAAACAATTCAAAATGTCTCCCATGAAGGTAGAAAAGAAAAATATAAACAAAACTCTCAAATTTTAAAAGTATTAAAAGGCCCTAGACTGACTTAGACAGACATCAGACCTTCCAGTCCCTTTTGAGAATGAGAATTGAGTACTGTGTCCTGCAAGGGAGCATTTGCCTCTTCCTGAGGCTCTTGGCCAGCACAGGTCACCCATCTTTGAATTAAAACTAACAGTCCAGGTATTCAGACTCACACTTCATCTGCCCCTAACTGCACAAACCTGCCTAGCTGGATTCCCTGAGTTATTCTCTTGGGTACTAATTATTTTACTATAGTTACATAATTTCTCTCTTTCTCTGTCATCTTTATTACTGAATGACTGATAGTGGGACAAGAGGCACACACACAAGCAGACCACTTGCAGGAGCGGGTTTGAGTCCCAAGAAATAATAACAGGTTGTTAGGCTTGGTGGCAAGTGCCTTTATCCACTGAGCCCCATCCCACTGGCTCAAGCTATGCAGTTTCTTAATGGCATACTGGTATTGCTCCTAAAATGCAGTAATACCATTTTCATGGTTTTAAATGTACAATTCTGAGGAAAATAGAACTTTCCACAAGCAAACACAAGAAACATCAGATACTGAAAACAGAAGTCAGCTCTTCCCAGTGGGTTTGATTTCCAGCACCCACATGGTGGCTCACAACCATATCCCAGTCCAGAGGATCCAATGCCCTCCCTATTCTGGCCTCTGCAGGCACCAGGCTTCCTCAGACATAATGTAAGAAGAAAGAAAGGATCACTGAAAAAATGATTTCAGTATCTACGTCTATATTTCTGACAGTCAAAAAACTTGAAGGGTACATAATTTCTATCAATTTATCTCTTAAGCAATTTCTGAAACATAAAAGCCATTCTTTCAAATGCATACCACCAAGCCAGAGGCTAGATTTGGCCACTGAGCTCTAGTCTATCTCTGTAGTGACAATAATAAAGAAAAGGCCAATGGTGACAGAGCTCAAATTTGGAACACCATTATTTATCTACCAATTACTAAAACATTAAAAGTTCTGTGTACACAGAGTATTTGCATGAGTGCATTATTGGTGGTGGTGGTGGTGGTGGTGGTGAAGGTGGGCATTCTGGAAGGTCATGAAAACCATATCTGGAAAAACAGATTACTTTCTATTTACAAGCCATCTTCTAGACAACCCTGCTCCATTAGGAACTAACAATACAGACAGGGAAAGGCAAAATGTAAAATTATATATATAATCAAAACAAACCAGTATTATAATTAGCTTTGAGGTTAATGTTATTGAGCCAATTAATCGTAAACTGTCTAATAGCAAAATTCTATATTAAATGATGACTCATAGTTCCCTATCTAGAAGAGGTAGGTGGGATGCAGTGACTCATTTCTTTCCCTATTTCATATCACCTTCTTTCTCAAAAGGAAAAAAACAACACAGCAATAATGATGTAGAAGTACTCCTGAATTACGTGGCCCAATTCTACATACCTAGACCATTACTAATTAGCTTTGATTGGTAACAGACTCTTGTCACCATTCTATGAAGAAGATGAACTGAGGACTGATTTTTCACTAGCATTCAGCAAGCCACTAATAAAATTATTTTACACCTAGATGATGGTTTTGTCTTGAAGTTGTTATACCACTTGTAAAACTGCAAAGTCCTGATTTGCATTTATTTCTCCCCTACTCCCCTCACACACACCCCTAGGACTAGCAAGAAGGTTTGGCAGGTAGAGATGCTTGCTGCACAAGCCAGGTGACCTGAGATCATCTCCAGAAGCCGTGTAACGGGGAAGGAGAAAACTGACTCCACAGAATTGTCTTCTGACCTCTACATGCACACCACGGCATGTGTATATACATTTTCTCTCTCTTTCATACACACAAACACAATAAATATGAATAAATCTAAAAACTAGAATTTTGTTTACTGGCTTACTTACTTCATCCATTTTCATACATGTGCCAAAATCTGCTAGTTTTAGATGTCCATGTTTATCCAAGAGCATGTTATCAGGCTTCACATCTCTGTGTATTAAGCCCATGGAGTGTATTGCATCCAGTGCAAGCACTACTTCAGCAGTATAAAACTTGGCCCATTTTTCGGGCACATCATAATTACTCATAAGGTTCACGAGGTCTCCACCTGGCATGTACTCCATCACCATGTACAGGTACCTGTCATCTTGGAAGGCACAAAAGAGCTGAAAAAGAGGAAGGAATAAAATTATACTAAAAACAAAACCCCACAATTGTTATTGCCAGTGAAAAAATGGACTACTTTATAACTAAAACAGAGTTAAAATTTATGATATCTCTTACTTCTGGATCAGGCCCATTTAGTGAGAAAACAACAGCAGACCAATTTTACACGGGTACCTTTTGAGGTATACTATAAAATATTCATAAATGAATGTTTTCCTCTCATGGAGAACACAATGTAGGAAACTAAAAACATTTTTAAAAAGACATAGTAGGAACAAAGAAAACATTAGCTTTCTGAAAACTAAACAAGCGATTGCTCACACCTTACACCAAAGAGCACTGGAAGTAAGGGTCAGCTTAGAAACATCTAGCAGATACCAATTTAATAGCAGCAGAAGAAATAAGACCCATTTCAATTTAAAAGATGAGTAACAACACCTGGAAGAGAACTAACTCTTCTTTTCTATGCTCCATCCTTTTATTCATAAGCAGCAAGCCGTACTGTCACCTGCTCCCAGACTATATATAATATGTTGCTACCAGACCCCAGAAACATAGAGTTACCACACATACCAAGAAAGGGTATCTATATAGTATGCCCCCAGAAGCAAGCAAATAAAAAAGCAGCACCCAGAGATGACTTCAAAAATCAAGAGAACCTTTCTTTCTCGGTAAGAATTTACTCAGCAAAATTAAAGATCAAAAGATACCAGCATATAGAATGGTTAACTAGAAAATGACAATGAACATGCTGATATGGAAGCAATTTAGATTTTTTTAAAAAGTGGGACATTTTAGTGCTCTCCTCTTTTTCCTTCTTTTTGAGACAAGGTTTCCTTACATAGATCAAATAGAACTCAAACAGAAAAAAATCCCCTTGTGCATCCTCCCAAGTGCTGGAGTAAAGGCTGTATCCACAATACCAGCATTACTAGCATTCTTTACTCAAGCAAATTATCAAGGCTCACAATTTGCCACACACACAAAAATTAATTTGAACTGGACACATCAGAATTTCAATTAGCCAGATAAAAACAAGAGGAGGTTTAAGACTCAATCTCACTTCAATCTTATTTTATGTGCTTAGGTGTTCTGCTGGCATGTGTGTAAGTGAACTACATGAGTACTCCCAGTATCTGCAAAGGCCAGAGGAGTGTTGGATCCACTGGAACTGGAGTTACAGACATTTTTGAGGAGCTATGTAGGTGCTGGTCAAACACGGGTCCTCTAGAAGAACAGCCTGGCTCTAAACTACCTCTACAGCACTCCCCCCAACATCATTTCTAAAACGTACTAATGGCCAGGTCATCTACATGGTCAAAAAAAGGAAAAAAAAAAAAACAGAAAAAGAAAAAAATCTCTGCCAGGTGGTGGGGCTCACAGGTTTCAATCCCCAGCACTCTGGAGGCAGAGGCAAATGGATCTCTTTGAGTTCCAGGTCAGCCTGGTCTACAAATCAAGTTCCAGGACAGCCAAAGTTGTTACACAGAGAAACCTTGTCTTGAAAACAAACAAAAAATCTCCACACTGCCTCTTTCAAACGAGGTATGAAACTCCAGCTCATTTAAGCTCTTCAGAGCACACACTGGTATGTGGGTACTCTTACTCATCACCCTTGTAGATTTGGATGCTGGAGTTAAACATAACAAAAAAAGGAAGCAAATACCAAGTCAATTCTCTAATCCATAGTCAGTTATAAGGTGGAACCAGGGGTACTAATAAAATCATATATTACAGAGAAATACACAAAATGCTATTGTATGTTTAAGATGTTCACTGTAGGCAGTTTTTCTCTAAGTTAAGATAGGCTGAGAAGGTCACGTGGGGTCTAACTAACTTCAGTGTGTACAATTCCACCCAATGACAGGATGAATTCACTATGCTCCTATTGTGTGAATGTCAAGGAAAGGGTAGTAGAGAATGCTATACTAGCTGGTCACACCAAATCTTCATACAAAGCAATTAAAGAGTTTCCAGTAATAGTTTTTATAACCAACTTAAGTATCACTGCATGCCACAACTCTACAGATATACCATCAAGTAATATTAAACAAACATACTCAATCAGATCTAATAAAAAATATTTCATTTTTACTATGTGAACAAAAGCACAGGAATGTTTAACACACAAAACACTCTTTTGAATAAACACACACAAAAACCCCACAGACTTATAAAAGTTAGCATGCTTACCTGAACCACCCAGGGACTGTTCGCAAAGGCCATGATGTCTCTTTCTTCCCAGAAAAAAGCAGAGTCTGATCTTTTTATCATTTCAAACTTACTAAGAAGCTTCATTGCATAAACCTTCTGGGATGCCTTATGACGAACCTGTGAAGTAAAAAAAAAAAAAAAAAAAAAAAAAAAAAGAGTAATACTTTAACTGCTAAGGAGAATGCTGCTGCTGAAATGCTGTTAACAACTAGCTGCAGAACAAACTGACCCTTAGTCAAGTAAATGCAGGTAAAAACCCTGTCTCAAAATCCATTGCCCAAAGCAGAAGTATAACACAAAGAAAAAAATTTATAAGAGCCAAATATTTCAGCAAATATATTTTTAAATCTAATCAAATAAGCAATTATCTTATTTCAGCTAAATAAAGCTTAATTCATAAAGCTCCATTCCCTCAGATTAATTAAGCTATTTTTTAAAAAAATAAGATACTATTTAACAGGCACTTTTCAAGAAATGGTTACTGAGGGCAAAAACACTTCTTCCAGTCTAAAATATCAGAGTGTGTATGTATGCGCACGCATCACTCACTATCTGAACATTAGAAATCTAATAGATTAGTTTGCAACCTGATTTTATGAACTCATTCTCATTCCTTTCTAAGTATCCTACTTAAAAGATTAATTTCGTTCAAGGCCAGGCTGGACCGACAGCCTCCAAAACAATACAGAGAAACCCTGTCTCGCAAATACCAAAAAAAAAAAATTTAATTTCCAAGAAAAAGCAACCAAGAATATAGTTATTTGATCAATTCCTATTTTGCTTAATAAATTTCCTCAGAGTAAGAATGGCATCTATTTATAACCACTATTGATTCCCAGAACATAGCAAAGTATCTCAAAATCACGAAATATGCAGATGTAACAGCTAACACATACTAGACAATAATAAATAATAACTGGTAATGTATACAAAGCAGAAGTTCCCAAGGTTTATTCTTGTATCTCTTTCCTACAGTAATTCTCAAGTTGGTAAACGACTGTTGCATTATTCAAGCTGCTCAGGCTAAAAATTCCTTTGTCAGAAAATTCTACAGTGCTACCTTTAACTTGTCTCTACACCAAGCCATGTCTACTTACTCCCATTAATACCAACTGAGTTCAACATCTTTTACTCCAATTGCCAGCAAAATGTCAACAAGTTTTCCTCTTTTGCATCCACTCAGTCTAACAAGTCATGTAAACAAATCAATTCTGGTCACTCCTCAGTTTGTCTCTTTTTTACGCACTGCTCTTTGGGGAAATTCCTTCAGACCGAAGTTCAAGCACTGCCTTCTCAGCCACACCTACTCTGTCTTATCAAGGTTCTTTAACTCACTGTCCCCCTCTCCAGCTAATATGCTCCTAATTTATTCTCTCTTCCTTGCTTTTGTTCCACTTCACTTCCTAATCTTTTAAAAAACAACTTGCCAGTAGGTGGTGGCATACACCTTTAGTTCCAGTACTTGGGAGGCAGAGGCAGGCTGTCAAGGCCAGCCCAGTATATAGGGCTAGTTCTGGTACAGTCTGGGCCACACAGAGAGACCCTGTCTCAAAGACGACGATGATGAAGATGAAGAAGAACAACCACCACCACCATCAAACACTTATTTGTCCTCTTATCTCTCAGCACAGAACTTAATCCAATGAAGATATAAAGATACTACTACAGAGTACCAGTGGGCTATCCCTTCTACAAGTCAGAATGGCAAATAGAAGGCAGAGAATTCAACCTGCCTGCAGACTGAATGAAAAGCACTCTGCATCCAGAGTCTAGTTTTCCCATCTGTAAACCTGAAGTTAGCATATACTGCCTGAAACACAGCCAGATTCCATGCCCCCAGAACACCACTCCACCTGCAGTTCTTTCCCTGAGAAGCTCACCAGCATTTGGTCTTAGGGCTGGAGAAAGAAGCTAAGAGATGAAGCTCTTGACCACAGTGTTGACCAGCCTAGGGCCACCTTCACAATTTAAATCTTGTTCTTTTGTTCTTGTAAGCACAATTATCTTTCTTTAATCCCTCTAACAGAAAAACGAACCTTTTTCTTTGTATATTTTTCATGAGAAAACCCATCACAGTCCCAAACTCCACCTCTCACCCAAAGACACTAGCTTGTTTTCCACTAAGCCAAAATATGAAAATCCTCAAGGAGGCTTTCTCTGATTACCCAATCAAATTTAGAACCTCGATGAAGGCCGGGTGGTGGTGGCGCACGCCTTTAGTCCCAGCACTCGGGAGGCAGAGGCAGGCGGATCTCTGTGAGTTCGAGGCCGGGCTGGACCGATAGCCTCCAGAACAATACAGAGAAACCCTGTCTCGTAAAAACCAAAAACCAAAAAAAAAGAACCTCGATGAAGGTCGGCAGTAAATGTTTTCTTAGAAATTGTAAAGGATCGTGGTGCTCCCTCACAATTCCATTTGCTTTCTTCCTACAATCTGTGATTCCTGGATGTCTGTTGCTTATCACCAGCTCCCCAGGCGACAGTGTAAACTCATTAAAGATAGAGATTCTTCATGCTGGCTTGGTCCCCTTCCCATCCCTAGTGACAAGTTCAATGCCAGTGCTGGCAAAAATAAAGCATACTCAGAAGACACCTGATGAATGAATGTATAAACAATTCTTTAACTTTATGACCGACTATGAATTTTCAGGATTTTTTTGAGATAAGATCTCACTATATAAGCCCTGGCTGACCTGGTACTCACTATGTAGACCACACTAATCTTGAACTTGGAAATCTGCCTGCCTCTGTCTCATGGAGTGCTGAGATTAAAGGTGTGGGCCACCACCACATTTGTCAGCTGAATTTCTAGTTTTAAGGAAGATTCAAGAGTAAAATTCTAGTAAACTCTTGCCAAATATTATCTGCATCTAAAATCATACTCTTATTAAAAACAAAGTAAATCAAAAGAATGCTCACATCCTTCCCAGAGGAAACTGGGAAGAAAACAGCATAATTTGCAAGTCAAATTAGTATAAATATAATAACATCTTGGAAATCATAAAAATGCTCTATTTAATACAGAAAGTTTTTCTTCTATTAAAACCAAGTAATTTTATTTGAGTGGACTTTTAACAAATCTCTTCTAGAAAACAGACAATTAGGACTGGAGAAATGGGTCATTGGTTAATAACACTGGCTACCCTTCCAGAGGTCCTGAGTTCAATTCCCAGCAACCACATGGTGGCTCACAACCATCTATAATGAGATCTGATGCTCTTCTCTTCTGGCATGGAGGCTCTATGTGTAGATGTATAAAATAAATAAATATTTTAAAAAACAGACAATTCCTAGCATAATCAATGTAAGTATTCATCAGTTAGAATCATATCCTTCTGGTTATGATAGCACAACAGGAACCAGCTGCCTTCCCACTGTAAACCACCACCAAATCCCATAAAGCAACAGTTTCTACTGAAGCTTTGTAAAATGGGCAGCACATGACTAACTCATCGAATCAACTCCATAATGACCTAGAAGCAGCTTTAAAGCATCTCAAGTGGCAGTACAGCAAGAGTTTCCTAAGCAGGGCACAGTGATACTACTGAGTTGGGAGGCAGGGGGTGCTGGTGCATCAAGATTATTATTCAAAAGAAATGAAGTGCTGGGTTCTGCGGGGCAGGTAAACTACAGAAGTCACTTGAGAGAAAATATTTCGGGTCTACTAGAGAAACTATGACAGGTTTCATAGCAGAACAGAAACACCGAAGCAGACTAAAGGATACCTTGCAAATTTCCTGGGCATTCTTAGTGGACAAACTACTCTAATACAGTGGGTCTCAACCTTCCTAATGCTGTGACCCTTTTAATAAAGTTCCTCATGTTGTGGTGACCCCTAACCATAACATTGTTTTTGTTACTACTTCATAACTATAATTTCTGCTATTATGAATCATAATGTAAATATCTGATATGTGACCCCTATGAAAGGGCTGTCCAACCTCCAAAGGGTGGCAACCCACAGGTTGAGAACCACTGGTCTAAAGTAAGGCCTGCTCTACTACTACTTAACAAAAATTAACAGCAAATCTAAACATCAAAAGGGAGCAGTTTATCTAGAGGCCGGGCCTACTAAGGTAAAAGGACTTGATAACAATACTTGTTCTTTCCACACACCTACTCTGACAAAGTGGAAAACAGCCTGCACAAATTAATTTAAGGATGACCAACCAGTAAGTCACCAAACAGACTATTGGAATGAAAACCAACACTCTTCAAAGAGATTAACAAACCTCAAAAGCTCTATCCCATATCTGTAAGATCTAGTCAATAATTTAAAACTTACTGAAGAGGTAAAAGGAAAGCATGACTTATCATTAAGAAAAAAAAAAAAGCAGTCAAAAGAAATGACTCCCAGAGGTATTGGGTTTAGCTTTAAGTTTTTCTTACAAATAAACAAAAAGAAATTAAGTAAAAATGGCTCTTAGAAATATGCTTAAATAAAAGAACACATGTAATGGAAATACAACTAGAAATTCTATAACTGAAAAATAAATACAGTAACAAAAGAAAACTCAGAAGGGTTTAACAGAATATTGATTTTAAAATGAGAAATTCAAGTCGGGTGATGATGATACACACCTTTAATCCCAGCACCTGAGAAGCAGAGACAGGCAAATCTCTGTGAGTTCAAAGCTAGCCTGGAGTACAGAGACAGTTCCAGGACAGCCAGGGCTTCACAGAGAAAGGGGGTGGATTTGGTGTTTCTGAACACAAATTTTAAAAATAAGACAAAATGAATAAATGAAGAGATCAGACTCAGTGGCCTCCAAGATAATTTTAAGCTGTCTAAAATATATGTAAAGGACTAAAAATACCCATTAATGAATTATCCAACAATTAAAAAGACAAATTTATACAGTTTAGATATAAACCAGATAGATCAAAGAATAAAGGAAATGCAAACATATTTGCCCTAGAAAACAGCAAGGATACATTTATAATAGGAATGTAAACAGTAAAGCAGACTTACAACAAAGACAATCTGTTATCTAAATAAAAGAGACAATACATCAAGACATAAGAGAACCAGGAGTAGTAGCAAGCACTCTAGAGTGATCTTTGTGAGTTGCAGGCCAGCCTGCATTACATACATACAGAGTCCCATGCTACTTGGT